GTAATGTCTCTAAAGTAGGTCATGTTTATGGTTCTACATTCCTAAATGATCTATTATGTTATCAAAACACACAAAGGAGAGGATTACGAAATACCATCTTGAACGATGTCAAAAAGTCGTACATTTGATATTGATTAATATGGATGTAACCTGATGAAAAACTAAATATCCCTCAGGGAAATGCACTCATTTTAAATACAGAATGGAGATCATCCTTTATCTCAACAAGATCATTGTTCTTGCATAAAAGACTGACTCTCTAGCTCAAGTGGCATTTTTATGAATTGAACATATCCTCTGACCTCCAAGCAAGAAAATAGCTCACTTATATCTTGTTGACATATGAAAATTAAAGTTTAGTTAGCAGCCACTCTAAATGCTGCTACTTGTAGATTGAATTGTCTGATTTATTTTTTTGCAAATCAATAGAGACATTTTTCATTAGGCATGCATAGGATAGTTTAATTCATTTAGCAGCTAGAAGCTGTATATTTGTTCTTGTGATGAACCGAGCAGTGATGGAGCTCTCCAACACTTGTAGCTTAATTATCAAACAGTATGCTAAATAGTATTTGCAGCTGTTCAACACTTGAAGGACAAATATTGGAAATGGAAATATACTAGACTATGAATTATTCACAGCACCATGCCAAACAATAGCATTATTGGTTTCTTTTACCATCAGCTGTTGATGCAGCTTCTGCTCTGTGACCTTAAACGGCACATCTCAGCAGCCTGAACAGAAAATCCTGACCTTTACAGTTGCATTTATAGTTTGATGATGGGAAACTTCCCTGATTATTTTATTATATATTTATGAATGCAGTATTGTGTATTATCAACGTTCTGAGGCCGGAATAGGTTAACAAATCCCCTCTCTGCCGCCTCAAGCTTCAATAATTTACTCATATCCCTAAATATTTTATGACTTCAATCTCAATTGAACTTGGATCTATCAAGGTGTATTAACATACAGAGCATTCTGAAAAAATCTGTTCTATCAGTGCCTGCCTGCCCCCCACATAGCATCCCAGCTGGTATGACTCTGTTATGTTTGTGGGATAAATTACCTGTATCACAAGTATGAAAAAGATCGCATGCCAATTAGAAACACATACTTCTTATAGCAGTAAAAGTTGGGAAAATTAAGGTAAAATGTTAACTTTTTAAGGTCACACAAAGTTAATACACTGCAGCATTGCAGTTTACATGTGTATTTAATGAGGGAAAACATTTCCACTAAACTTGAGTGAATTCCAGTCATGCTCATGTATGCAGGCAGACACACACACACACACACACATACACCTGTCTCCCAGGCTGAGTCCCGCTGAGCCTTCCCTGCTCCACTTTTTTTTTTCATCTGTCATTCTGGAGCATGTCAGTGTTTAACCCCCTCCCACGCTAGCACGCACACACACGCTCACTCACACACACACTCACACACACACACACACACACACACACACACACACACACACACACACACACAGCCTTTCTTCTTTAACAAACTGCCCAAACATACACAGTCGCTCAGACACAGCTTTTTCCCTTCTTTCCACCTTAACAAACACACACACACAGACAATCCAGGGCAGCAGTTAAAACAGTTGAAGCAGTTGTCATGTACCTTTTCGCTCTCTCTTGCTCGCTTTATGGTGTTGGTGGGGCTGATAGAATCTGAACTGTCATTTACAGTCTGTGTGTGTGTGTGTGTGTGTGTGTGCTGACAGGAATCATTTTGTAGTCCAGTCAAGGAGGGCGTCTGCCATCCCACCAGACTCTCCCTTTTTCTCTGCGGGAGAGGACACTCAACAGTTTAGGAGGCTGCAGGGTTTCTTCCTCATGGCTGCATCCAGCATTTAGGCTGCTTATGGATTTTTAAATACGAGAGTGTGCCGCCCGTATCTCAAAATTTGAAGGTTTTTACGCTTAAACATGCACTATCTTTGTGAGTGGGGGAGTGGGGTGCCTGGCTGTTTAAATCCGCTGGGGTGTTTGGAAAATAGTGATGTGGCCTTCCATAAAAAGGCGGCTGAGTGTGAGCTGCAGTCAGTGATTATCATTCGGCAATCCGTGATCAGTTTCACTTTATAAGGGACTGAGTCATGCTTTCCTCTGTAAAAAGGACATCCTCCTTACATCAAGATGTGTAACAAATTTATGTCTAAAAAAATTTTTCTGCAAATGAAGACAGACTAGGTTGGTATGCACCCCTCACTACATTCCTGCTTAAATGCCCTAAAAACCCATAAAAGGCAACATGTCCTTGGTGTGTCCTTCACATTATTCACTTTAGACTGTGCACAATTTGTTAATTTTCCTGGTTCCTGCTGCTGCTGGAGATGAAAACAAAATGCTTTGGACCTAGATAAAAAAATGGCAATAATGTGTCCAGTGTTTAATAGCTTAATGGGCCATGTGATGTCATGTGGGCATTTGGGGTCAAGTCAACCTGTATGCGATTTTGAGAAGTCCTTTATTGAGTGTGGCCAATAGATGCATGTGTATGCGTGTGCGTGTGTGTGTGTGTGTGTGGATTTAAGAACATCTTCCTAAGATTGGACATAGCATGTTGAACAAGCTCACTGATGTCAAGGGGAATATAAATGCGCTATGCGTAAAAGCATTAGCGGGGTATTCATGATAAGGAGTCAAAAACATGGACACACAAGGCAGATTAGGAATAAGACGCACAGGAGCCAATGGAGATAATCCTGTTATCTCGTTGGATGTAAAATGCCAATGTGGAAGCATCCTCAGAGACCAAGATGAACTGAGCATGAACTAATGCTGCAGATATACTGAAGGAGAAGAAGGGGGGGGGGGGCAAAAAATAATATTGGCAACCTGATTTAAACACTGTTGTTCTTGACCTTAAGGGACACCCACGCCGTTTACCGCAATGTCACCGGCGGTCTTCGTGCTCCGTAAGAGCCCACACACGCGCGCCCGCGCCGTCTTCTGTTTGACACCAGTTCAATATCCTCCTGGTGACATTGTATCACCTTTGAGAATTCCCTGACAGTAACAACGCCGGGGCCGTAATAAATAAACCGGTATTGATTGACGATCGCTATCAAGTAGAACAGAAAGGAATTTGGGTCTCTGCTCATTTAGGGTTTGGGATACCAGGTGCCGGCGGAGACGCACTTCGGTCTTCACCTTCTTACCAGAGCGCATTTAACATTACGCACAACAGGAATGTGCGCGCGCGCGCACACACACACACACACTCACACACACAGACACACAGATTCACACACACACATCCAGAAACATAAGCTAGAAACACCAATACACAACAAGAAAGACATGACAAAGGGAAGACAGTAGACTTACGAGATGACCCTGGGCTCTGCGGGCTCCTCTGTGCGCCCCATTGTGAAATTCCTGTTATTCCCGTTTTAACGGAATCCTTAAATGCCGTGGTCGCAATCCACGTCTCTGCAAATGTACCAAAGGATCACATAGAGGATGAGGAGTATGGCGAAGATGAAGAGCGCTACTAGGATGGCCTTGGTCACCGGAGAGATGAGCGACTGCATGTCAGGAGCAGAGCCGGGCAGAGCGGCGTGGGGCTCCGCGTCTGTCCGTCCTCAGTCTGCGGTCTTTCTCGCTCTCCACCTCTCCTCTCCGCCGCTCCGGTAGCAACTGTTGAGGACGGAGCCCGGGGCTTTGTCGTGCACGAACACACACATTTAGAGCCTGGCGCACATGCACATGCACTCCACGACGCGAATTCTGACGGGCGATCAGATCCGGGCGCGCAACGCGTGGGGGCTTCCCTTGCTAGAAGAGGCGCAGGAGTGGGCAGTCAGTCCCCAGATCCACTCTCTCCGGCTGCCCGTCGCACATCAGAAGAGACAAAGACAGTGGAAATAGCAGCCGTAGTTCGTTCAAAGAAGGTTGTGCTACAAAAACCAGATGAAACTCTGCAGGTGGAGGTTTAAATTGAATCCAGCAGAGACGTTTCTAGACACAGAGTGGAGAAGTCCTAAGTTGCGCGCCGAGCTGCTGCACTTGTCGGCAAACAGGTTGATTAGTATTCCTCACGGCGGCGTGCGTGTGTGTGTGTGTGTGTGTGTGTGTGTGTGTGTGTGTGTGTGTGTGTGTGTGTGTTTGTGTGCGTGTGTGTATGTGACTCGGCTTGCCCAGCCATCACGAGCCGCAAGACCTTTTGTGGCAAAGCTGTCAGTCGAAAGATGGGTAGGATAAACCCACATGGTTTTCAGTTAAGCTCTTTATTGTTATTTTACATTGTTTTTATAATTTTGGCGTGCTGCTGCCTTAACGAGCCCTTTCAAAAAAGAACTAATCCCTTAATAAAGGGCAGATGGTCTAAAAATGTCGTGGAAAACGGTTGTCAAGTCATTGTAATAATGCAGATGTAGATGCAAGAGATAAGCACTATTAAATGTGACAAGGTCATAATTTAAAAGTCTGTTAGGCTACATATCTTTTCTTTTTTGGGGGGGGGTTCTTTTAAAAAAATATAGGCATGTGCCAAACTTATAGGCCTATGGTACTTTTGTAACTTACACGGTCACTATCACCTAGCAAATTTAGGAATTCGGCGTTGTTTCAAACATGCCACAAGAGTAGGCTGCTGAATCCTACTTCATCCGGAAATACAAACACCCCAATCGCATGTATGACTGCATGAAACATATTTTTCATGTAGCCTCTAGCCAACTATTAGGCTCGTGCTTAATTTCCGCGTGAATTCCATCAGATGACCACAAATCATATTTAGCAGGCTATTAATAGAATTCATTATCCATGCTTAACCATACGTTGATAGGCCATACATATTTTTGAATGACTCTATCAAAAAGGCTAAAACAGCATTGATAACAAAGGGCGGAAATGACTGACGACAATTGTAAAGTTATAATTTAAGATCATTAATAGAAGTAGGTCGCCAAACTGAAGCATGAGGGGAACATTATGAGCAGCAGTGCCGGGGAGCGCACTGTTCCTCTTTAACCAACGTTCACCACTAGATGGAGACAAATAGGCTACACATTTTAATGCCTTCATGAAATGTGATTATTCCGCACACCATCATAGTCTGTAGTCTTGCATAACAATCATGACAGCTAAACGGGTTTAAGACGCACAGCAGGTAAGAACAAACAATGCACTTTGAATAGTTGACATATTACGTGTGCGCAACTGAGACGTATGTTATTGTTCGTCTTTAGTGGTGAGCTAACGTTAGCTAGTTAGCTTCACCAGCAGGCAGTAACATTGTGTCCTACTGAGCGGAGTGGCTGAGGAAGCTTGAAGCGCGATGCGAACCTGCTGACGAAGTTTGGTGAAATGTGCAAACGAAATTAGTGTTTTGTTTCTTGTGTGTCGTTTGATGCGAGCTGGATTTTATTATTCCGATACATGCATGTGAGAAGACACGTCTAATGTTATGTGGATGCGGTGTCAACTGAGTGTTAGAGTAACAGAGACGGACCAATGTTTGCAGCAACTTGCTAGCAGCTAGCCAACTAGCTTCACACAGGCCGGAGACGTTTGTTAAGTGAGTCCAAGTAAACCAGAACATCCGGTCGCAGACTTAAAAGTAAAGCATTTAGTCATGCCGTTTTTGTAATGCTTCAGTCGGAGAGCGTTAATGCAGATTTTCCTTAATAACAATAAATGTTCGCTACGTGTTCAATAAATGAATAAATGTTTGATTTAATTAATTTGAATCACCAATAAATTAGCACTTAAATTTTCTATAAAGATATTTAATTTGTTGGCAAAATGGGACTGTAAAAATATTTTACTAAATTTACTCATGTGTAGTGTAGTATCTTATACTTGTGCATTTGATTCATAACAGTTCAAAATAGTACTGTTGCAGCAAGACAGAGGGTCAGTAACCTTCTACGGGGAGAGCAGTGATTGGTGGTTATGTGATGTGATGTTATGTTGTTTTGTTACTTCAAAATAGTACTGTATGGGTTTGACCTTTTATTTTGCAGACTCAGACCCCTCTATGGTACCTAACAGATACCTAAACATTTCCTATATAAGCTTTGTTTGATGTACAGAGAGACAGAGTGGCCACCGGGCTGGGTCACTCTTCAAGCTGCTGCAGAGTTTGTAATTGATACTGAACTCCTTGATGTAATAAACTTTTATGATCAAGAAAAGTGTCAAGCGGGTTTCTTCTCAACACATCATCGCAGCATTATTGTTCGGACACCACAGTAGCCTATTGTTTTGTATGTCCAACCTCAGATTTGTTGTGTTGTAAAGTGTCGGCGTAAAGTGTTTGTCCTGTTCTGACCATAAAGAATAGTTTAAAACCACAATTAACTGTCTGGTTTCTTCAACTTTCACTCAGCAAAAAACAGCTTTTATAATCGAAACAGATCATTTTTGATATGTTATCGAATGATATGAAATTTCTTATCGCAATAACCTTTTTGACCATATCGCCCAAGCGAAGGTATTGGTTTGAAATGAAAGTCATCTGAAATATTATAAAGAAAAGTTAGTACGTAACGTTAGACCTGCATTTGTATGGTTGATGTAGTTTGTGGCACAGTTATTACAATCGTAGTAGACCAATTTGGTTGACATTTAAAATACAGTGTTTCTCTTGGACCATGTGCTCCTTATGAAGTGGTGGACGGGCTTTTATTGTGAAGGCACAGTCGCCTCACTTCCTGTGTTTCTTCAGCAGCTGTTGTAAATGTGATGTAGCAGCTTTGACAAGCGCGGCTAGCTAGCTGGCTAGCAAGAGACTTAACCCACTTAACCTACGTGACACAGTGAGTGTGTTTACATATGGATCTAAGAAGTTGTTGTTGTTGTTGTGTGTTTAAACTGTTACAGATCTGCTTTACTGTCTGCTGTGTCAGTCTATACTCGCTACAGTGTCAAAGCTGTAACCAAACGGCCTACAAGTGCTACGTTAGCTAGCTTCACCGTCTCAAGATCTAACGTTAGTGATTGCTGGTTAACTAATTAGGTCTTGTTGAAGTGTAACGCAAAGTAAGGGCAACACCAGTGACAAGTTTCAGTATAACATTTATAGCTGGTTTTCCCACTGTTCTTTTAGTTCAGGAAATATCCTGCTGTCAACGTAGACTGACATTTAGCCGTATTTGAAAGAATTATAAAAAATAATCTGCCTGGCTCGTGAGTTAAGTGTATTAACTTAAACAAGGTGACTGTACTCGTTTTACGACGTAGATAAATAAAATTCAATACGTTCTCAACTTTCTGAGTTGTTTCACAGTGCTTTCTATGTATATTTTGATACATGAAGATCACAGTACAGCTGACCCAGTTACAAAAGTTGACACTTTACTGCCAAGAGGCATTGTTTTGGCAAAAGATGTGGAGTTGAGAGGGATCATTACTCTTAACATTTCTTTTGTAAGGTTGCAAATCATATTCTGAGAGCATTCCTGTACATGCAAGTTGTGAATTAGGTAGTGAATGAAACCAATTGGGACTACAACATACATAACCAGATTAGATCTAGTGTTGTTGACTTGTTCTTCCAGGGGTTAAGTGCCAACATGGGTCCTTCAGGTGTTGTGGTGCCAGGAATTGTAATTTTGCTCATACCTTGTTGTTTTTTTTTTATAGTCCTCGATGGTGTAATGTCAAAAACAACTTTAAAGAAGAAAAAAAAAAAATTTGCATTGAGTATGTTTTACATTTAGCTTGCCAACTTTGTTTAGTCATCCCTCTATTTATTTCTCTCTACAGATTCAACTACTCTATGTAAGATGAATACTGAGGACAAGTTGGAGGGTATGCTGCTGAAGTGCAGCAGTGGAGGAATAGATGGAGGAGGAAGAGTCGGGCTGGTCAGCGGCGGAGGGCTGGTGGTGATGACCCTGGGGGAACGATCGCTGGCTAACCACCCTCTGTTGGCCGAGGACGAGGACGACGAAGACGATGACGAAGCCTTGACCGGAGCTCGCTGGTTACACATGACCTGGTCCCTCCAGAGCAGCTGATGATGCAGGAGGAGATGACGAAGAATGGTGGAGGAGGAGAAGAGGAGGGAGGAGGCGAGGTGGGAGTGCATTTCCCCCTAAAACTCACCAATAAGTTGCCCTACTTGCTTCATATGCCAGTGAGTTCCTGCTGGTTAGGAAGTAGTCCATATATTGATAAGATTATCTGTGTGGATACATGTGTACGCACAGTCTGCACGTGCACGTCATCATAGCGAGTCTCCTTTCATGTCAACCTATGCAATGTCTTTTATGGGGCAATAATTCCTTCAGCACTGAAAATTCATTTAGGTATTGACACAATGCCGTAGAAGTTTTAAGTTGAACCATGCATAGTAGTCGCACAAAAACTGTTTAAAGCAGATGCTGGACCAATAGAAAACAAAAATGAACCATGTGAAAAAGAGCTCCCTTAAGTTTTTTTTAATTTATCATTATACTGCTCTTCTCACAGATTATGTCTGAAGCAACATCATTCAATTATTCAGTTATTTTCAGCACCATTGAAAATGGGATTAGGGATAATATATTGTTGTGCAGGATCACATTACTCTCCCTTGTGTACCTGGTTTGCACTCGAGTAAAAAGGTCAGGAGCCTTCACAGCAAAAGACATTAGGCTAAATTTTTTAACTTTTTAATCTTTTACATTACAAAACAATAAAAATACAGCACATGTGTTTGTATTGTATATGTGTATATGTATATTGTAAATGTAATTTCACAGCATGGCCTAGGTTTTCTAGGACCCGAGGGAATTCCTTCGGGTCCATTATGGCTTCAGCCGGGGGTCATCCTCAGCGGATGCTTGAACCACACCAACCGGCTTCTTAAATTGTGGAACAGCAGCTGCTCCTTGATGAGGTCCTCTCACACTGGATGGTTATCTTCTGCTTGTGCTATTGTACCTGGCTGGCCCGGATAAGCTGCAGGGTTAAATATCTTACCCATCTATGCTCCCTACTTTTGCAGTTGAGCATCAAGCAGGAACTACCAGTCCAGATGAAGAAGGACAAAAAAGGAGTTAAGGACCTGATGGTGTGTCCTAAGAAGAAAAAAAGGAAGCAGCGTTCCCCAGCAAAGGTGCTAATTAATTTTTTCTCAGAAAAGTTTAAATTGCCTGACATGTGTGTGTGAGACAGTGACAGCTATAAGACTAAAACAAATACATCTTTGCTCCCTTTGCTGTTTTTAGATTCTCAGTATCAATGATGATGGCTCATTGGGCATACAAAACCCCAAGTGTCACATCTGTGTTCACTGTAATGCTGCATTCAGAACCAACTACCATCTACAGAGGCATGTCTTCATTCACACTGGTATGAATTACTCAGTTTCTTGCTAAATAAGTCGTAACTGTCAAGCAAAAGAGGGGCGATGCTAAATTAAAATGTCACCTTGAGTATTATATGAAATGTAGTGTATGTATTGTTATTTATATGATTGAAATTCCAGGTGAGAAGCCATTTGAGTGCAGCCAGTGTGATATGCGCTTCATTCAGAAGTATCTTCTTCAGAGACATGAGAAAATCCACACTGGTGAGTGAAGAATTAATGCAATCAGTGGGCACTAGAATTATCATTTTGGTCTTAAGTGAATTTTTTTTTGTGTGTTTCTCTGTTTAGGTGAAAAGCCTTTTCGCTGTGATGAGTGCGGGATGAGGTTCATCCAGAAGTACCACATGGAGAGACACAAGAGGACTCACAGCGGAGAGAAGCCCTACCAGTGTGACTACTGTCATCAGGTAAACTCTGCTTTTGTTGGCTTGTAAGTCAGTGCATCTGGAAAGCAACAAGACTATGGTGGTGCACCCATGTATTAAAAACTGCACTCAATTATGAATTGGTGCCATATTAGTGGTCTTAATGTGTGCGGCACTGCAGGATGTGATCACAGAGCGTATAGAATGAAGTTAAGAAAATACTGGCCGACGCTTCTGTATAGTTCGCTAAATTCCTCCTAGGCAAGTCGTGCCACTCGGCCGCCATTTTGGCAACGCCCCTGGGCAGCTATTTTGGACTAACAAGACCAGGCTCCTGTCTGAATGAATGGGGAGAGAACCAGAAATGCACTTTTACTGGTCACCGGGACATAAAAACTACATGAATAGAGAATCAGCAGAGTTGTATTGAGGATGCGATTGAATGGCGTGTCTCCTCTAAAATGTCTTTGAGTTAACCCAGTCTTTAATGGGTTATCGCTACATTGTGTGTCTGTTTACTGGTTAAAATATATGTATTTTGTCCTCTATCCACAGTACTTCTCCAGAACAGATCGGGTTTTAAAGCACAGACGAATGTGTCACGAGAATAGAGAGAGAAAGGCCAACAAGGCAGCTGGTAAAGTTGGGCCTTTGCGGGAAGCAGATTCTTTAGGCCTCTCCTTTCTTACCAAAGAGTGTTCGCTCCCCAAGAAGAAGCGGCAAAAGTGTGCAGACAGGAGTTCAGGTGCTTCCACTGCCAACCAGCCAGATGGGCCAGCTGCCTCTGTTGTAGGAATGGAGGAAAAGGAGGAGCAGAGACAGAATAAAATTGAAGGTCTACCTCTCTATGCTGTGCCCTCCAAAGTCAAACATGAGTATGTGATTGCAGATTACTCCGTGGAACTTCCTGAAGAAACGGCCGGCCAACACCAAGAGGGAGAAGTGTCTTCAGAAGACACGACTCCTCCCAAACTAGTCCTGAAGAAAGTCCCCAAGAGGAGTCTTAAACAGTCTAATGAACAAACTCCTCCCTGCCTGTCCACTTTGTCTTCCTTTGAGGAAAACACTAAGGTCACACAGTACACCTTTGAGATCGTGGACAAGCAGGGCCTTTTAGACGTAGAGAGCAACACTGAACTAGAGTCAGTTGAAACTCTTCAAGGAGGTCCAACAAAGCCAGCAGCTAGCAGCACAAACTACGACGATGCCATGCAGTTTCTCAAGAAGAAACGTTACCTTCAGGCTGCAATGGCCAACAACAGTCGGGACTACGGCCTGAACACGAGCAGCATTTCTTCTCAGCCGCCTGTTACACAAACTGTGGTGTCAGCCGTCATTGACGAGACCGTCCCTGCCACCATTCTGGAGCCCCAGCCCATCAGCGCAGAGATTAAAGCCACACATGACAAGCATGTGTTGCCAGATGAGGTTCTCCAGACGCTGTTGGACCATTACTCCAACAAAGCCAATGGGCAGTCAGACATTTCCTTCAGTGTGGCTGATACCGAGGTGACGTCGAGCATATCCATCAATTCCTCTGATGTTTCAGACAACAGCCCCGGGGAGAGTCTCGGAGCCTCCAGTGCCCAGGCTCAGCCGGCTACCGAGAAGGTCAGCCTCTTGCAAGAATACTCCAAGTTTCTCCAGCAAGCACTGGAGAGGACCAGCCAGAACGACAGCTACCTGACCAGCCAGAGCCTCAGCTTGGTCTCTGAAAACCCCACCTTAGCTGGGCAACCTCTGTTCTCCACTGAGAAACAGTTTCCTTCCCCCAGCAGGTTCAAATCAGGGATGAGCTCTCCGCTAAGGTCCACTTTAGAGAAACCTCACTTTGGATTACTGGTTGGGGACTCCCAGCACTCATTTTCATTTTCAGGTGATGAGACCACCCCTCCCTCCGCAGTGTCCCCAGCTGAGGAGGACTTTTTGGGGCAGGTCTCACCCTCCAAAAAGACAGACTCTCCACAAGGCATACTGCAGACATTTCAGATAACCTCCTTCGATCAGAACTTCAAATCAACTTTTCAGACATCAAGATCTGGATCCTCTGCACAGTTTACTGTTGCCAATGGACAATTAAGTCTTCGAGGACACAGCACAGACTTCTCAGAGTTCCCCTTAGTCAGAGTCACTGAGACCAGGTCTCAACTGAACTCCTCCCCTGATGTTTCATCCAGTGAAACCTTTGGCTGAAGGCGGGGGGGGGGGATTAATTTCTGTTCATAATTTCAGCAGCACTTTACATGTCTCCTGTTTTGCCAAAACGAGTCCCATTGCAACTATGTGCTATTTTTTTTACAGCATTTTGTTTGGTTTTTTTTTTGTTAAATGCAACCTTACAGAATGGAAATATGGAAAATTGATAAATCACAATTAGCATTTCCCCCTTTAAAAAGGTAATTGGAATTGTGCATTGGTATATTTCTTGCTCCAGAATGTAGATTGAAAGATTAAGACGCAACCAAAGTGAAATGCAAGAAAGTGCGAGAATGAAATATCCTATCATGCCATTGCCATATAGTTTATTTTTAATGTTTTGTCAGTCGGTTTGCCTTGCACAAAGAAAAGATCAAGTCACTCTTGCTGCTTAATGCAACATTTCCACTTATTAAAATATAGGCCCTATTTAAATATGCCTTTTTTGCTCTCACTGTATCTACCTCCCCTTGCTATTTATCTGGTCCACTCCTAGAAACCTTTTATTCCAGCTGTGTAATTCCTGTTAAATTGTCTACTGAAATGACACCACGATTAGATCAAATCGGATTCTTCTTCACTTTATGTTGAAGTTATGTTGAAGTCACTTTACTGTCACCTGAAATGGGTTTTTCCACATCATATGTGTAATGAATGCTACAGGAAAGATTTAACTGATTCTATGTGACTGAAATGGAATCTAGTTTATTTTCTAGTTTATTTGGTTGTAAAGAAAGTATAGTTTTTCCTAAATTGTTGAACAATGTGTGGATAAATGTATTCCCTCTGTGGCTGAATTTCTTAGCACTGGTTTTTACAATGTCACTAGTGCAGGATAGGCTCTGGAATAAAATATAAAAGGCTAAGTTGTATTAGATTTAACCTTTTCCCCTCCTTCTAATCAAATAGCTGCATACATGTAATGGTTGCAGGATAATTCAGCAGTATACGTGAGTTATAGTGAAATTACTTAAGAGGATTGTGCTTCATTCTTGCACAATTTGCACATTTTTCACTAAAGGGAATGTAGGGCATACTATCACAGTGGATGAATTGCATAATACCTTTACTTGCAAGGCAACCTTTTTTTGTTAAATGAGACTTGGCCCTTAGTTAAAAACCCTTGTGTCAGATTTGGGTTGTTTGAATTGAAAAATGATGCTCATTGCTTTTGTCACTTATGTCACTCTTGTAGCTGCAGTTTTATAGTACTTATAGATTGTTCTTCTTGGAAGATGCACAGGTTTTGGGGGGGCACAACAATGTGTTTAGATCCCCCTTGTATTGATTGAAAGTCAGGTTTTATTATAGGCTATATTATGAGAGAAATTAGGTGCTTTGTTTTGCAGTTTTCTTAGTTTTGCATCTGTGCCTTTTTGTTTTATGCTCTTTAATTCCAGCCTTTTGTTTACTCATTCCTGTATATGTATTTCTTAGTCAGTGCTCTGAGGCTACTATTAGTTCCACTTGCACAGTAACAACAAACACATAAGCTATCAACCTATTCAGCCTGTAATATGCTGAGAATCTGGGAGCTTCATTTAATTTTGCCCATCACATTTGTATTATTTTAGCTCGAAATCACACCAAGTTTAATTCTCAAACTATTATCTGTTCTTGGAAGGAAATAGCATTTTCATGGACTGTGCTGCAGTATGAGTGCAGAATCATGTTTCATCTGTACTTTTCATAATAATCACCCATTTACTAGAATCCGGTAGTACTCCACATGTGTCCGGGCCTTAGTGGGGAAAAAAGCGTTTGAGTAAGGTCTCTTCTGTACTCTTATCACACTGTTGATTATTTTCCATGTGTACATGTGTGTGTGATGTCTTAGGTGCTATTGTGTGAAACACTTTTCATATACGCCATCAAATTAGGTTTGAAAATTGATGTTAAGCTCCCTATACAGTTCTACCGACAATCAGGGACAGACAGGCACCCACATTAATCATCAAATACTTTATTTTTCCACATCCAACATTCCTGCTAGAATGTATAAAAAATATCCAACTGTAAATACATTGTATATTTTTATGTTCCAAGAAGTACTGTTAGGTCGTTGTGTGAATAGACAGAAAAGTCTTGTGCAAGAGACACTTGTAGTCAGTGGAAGGCACATTAATTAGTTTTCCAGCATTTATTTCATTCAACAATGAATCGATATCACTTGCTGACAAGATGTGGCTTTCTGAGGTTTGTATATATTTCACCACTGTTATCAGAAGAAAATGTATGGTTTTTTTCTTTTTTTTTTTTTTTTTTTACAGTTTTATTGATGATTGGTTAAAGTGAATTTAGATCTTTTTATGTATATGCAGTTGATTGTGCATTATGGGATTCACTGTATACAGCTGTTAATGAAAAGCCACCACCCCCAGAAAATTTACTCCACCTGAAATCAGTGTTTTTAGTATCAAATATTTAACCTCAACAGCTGTGGTCAGCTTGAATTCAGGACGGTTAAAATACATTTTGGTTGGAGTGTAATTCAAAAAATAAGTTTTGTGGTTGGAATATTTCACTACCTACCAATTTCATTGAAGCAGTTATTAAAAGCACAGTGCAGATGAGTAATTCTGCGTCGGTAAATTGTTTCCCACAAAGTCATTATGGAGAAGTTTAAATTCAATTAAGCAATTGCATCTGTTGATGGAAATTCATAAATTATATGAGCAGTACTCTGGTATTTTTTTCCTTTTAATTAACTATTGTCAGTAACATGGCCATAAGTGTCCTTGTATAAGCTAGAGAAAAAAAAATTGTTTTGTGTAAAAAGATCTGAATTATGAATTTTTTGATAAAAACTATTTTTGAAACATGTCATTTAAGGCACTGATATGTACAGTATATCATATGCAATCACTATTGGTACCCTCATTTATCTCTGTACAAGTCGTTTGTGTCAAGATCACTAAAATGCGGACCGGAATCTGAACTTTGAATTTGGCATTTTCATACTTTTAAAGGACTTGACGAGGAAGCCCTACTGCTTCACTGTAAGGTTGATCTTAAGTTAGACAGTAAGGTTTATTTGCATGGTCTCTAACTTGTTGGGTCGCGTGAACTTGTTTTTTGAATAATGTGCAGCTTTAATTGTAGCTGATTAATTTCAGTCAAGTAACCCATATGATTAGATTTTTGCAATATATTATGATTTGTAAACGATCTGATTAAATTGTTGTTTTGATTGTTGTGTGTCATGTCCTTATGAATAAAATAATTCACAGTATTTGACCTTGAATTGTTTTTTGATATTCAAAGGCCATTCAGCTTATAGTGCCATTCAGAATACAATTTACTGTATATGACATTCATAGAAAGTCTAGGAAACGATAAAATAATATATGTAGTTGGTTGAAAGTGTAGGCTGCAACAAACAATACATTGATTGATTATTTAGGCATATAGATGAAATGTTAGGCAATTGTTAGAAAAATGTCCATCAAAAAGTCCCAGAGTACTATTTTAAGTCTTAAAAAGGTTTTGTCTGATCAGCAGTCCAAACCAAAAGATATCCATCCTCACATTGGAGAAGGTGGAATTGGGTTTTCAATTGAAAAATTATTTAAAACAATTAAAAATATTTCAAAATTGTAATAAACATAAATAATTGTTGTCATTAGTCTAACCATTTCAACATTAAATCCACATATAACGTTATTTGTAATCAAGTCTGTCTCTGTCACTTCCTATTGTCAGAAATAGGCTTAAAAAAACCACCCTCATGGGTTAAAAACATAATCTACCCTTCCAAAACCTGCAGTCTAAACATGTTTTAGGAAAGAATTCCACACATAACAAGATAAGGGTATGTAAGGGTAAGAGTGCTACGTGCATTTTCAGCTTTAATCATTAGTCAACCTTACTGCAGTCCTTGCCAAAACTAACACAGGATCCTTGTGTATAGCAGCAACACACCCTGTAAGGCAAGCAGTGACAACACATCCATCTAAAGTTACCTGCCGGCTGCTGAAGTTTTCATAACAGCAGGAGGACCTGGCCCTGTTAATAGTGACTGCACTCATCACTGAGGCACAATGGACGAATGAAATTAGTTGTCAGCATTAGTCTTCTTTTTTTTTTCATAATGGAAGAATAATGTGGGACTCTGTGGAAGGTAGGTTTAGCTAACTGTTGAGATTAGCTGGAGACAACCTCCACGCCAAACGCAATTTAAAAATCTGTCATTTATTGACTTTGTATTGATTGTATTTGCCTTGTAAAAATACCTTTTCTGGAGGCATCTGGCGCTACTCGGTATGGTACGCGGTAAGTCCACCAACAAAAAGAAAGTCCTTCTTTTTGTTTCCATCTCCTGTCGCGGACGTTATATTTTAGTAAATTTAGTAAAAAGTAATTTAAATAAAATCGCATTAAATTAAGTTGCCGAATTGGTTGGCTAATGTAAGAGTGAATCTCAGTAAATTAGAGAAGGTACTGGAGCATATTTTATTTTCGCCACTAGGAAACATTAAATTGACATGTTTTTTAATTAGGTTTGGCTCGGACGTTGTCCTTATAGTGACGTTAGCCAAAATCTGTTCACCTCTATTTTACGCTACATACATTAACATTATCTGTTAAATAACTATAAACCACGGCCTGTTTAGACTAATTGTTTTAATTAGTTGTTGGTAAAATGTCAGCCTGGCTGTTTACTCATTATTGACGTCTGTTCAGCTGTGTGTCAGGAGCACACCCTGCTGTATCCGGGTGTCCTCGGGCATCTGCACCTGTTGCTGTTTAACCAGGGAGACCAAGCGGACCGACACTGTCACGTTGACTAACTCAGCTAACTTCCTCAACAGAGCAAACTAATGTGGCCACTTATTAAAGAAGTCAATGTTTGTTTTCCACGTTCAACCTATGATGAACGTGGAGCAGAAAGGGCCACCTCTAGTAACACAACTGTTTACACAGGTCGCAATGGAAACCCTGCCAATAGGTTGGACTGTGCACACCTGTGACCAGGAGGGAGACGGGACGGGACTGTTGGTGAAGGGGGGAATCGCAGACATTAACACAAACACATGTCCACGATCTGTTTCATGAAGATGCACAGGTAGGGTGTCAGCTCAAATATCTCTCAGACTGAGAGTGAAGGTGAAAGGAAGTTTAGGAGAGGACATGGTACTCTCAAAGTTCCTGTCATTTCATGTCTGTTAACCTTTATTTCACATAAAAGAAAGTCTGCTTTATCCATTATCAAAAATTATGTTTATCTATAGGCATTAAAATGTCAAATAATATCCCATCTTCCATTTCTGTTCTACCATCATTTGACATTGCCCCTAACTAATGTCTTTTTTTTGTCTTTGTGCTGTTTTTATTTTACTAACTTTTTCTCAAAATGAATATGAGAATGCCTTATGTTGAAATGAAGCATCGTTTTAAGTCAGCCAGCGCTTACATAGCTGTTGTGATTCTTTGGTCAGGGCTTCCAGCAGTCTAGCCAGCCGTGGTGGAGGATCAAAGTGTTTGTGTGGGAGCCCGTGCTCTTCGGTACCTGGGATGGGGTTTTTACCACCTGCATGATCAACATCTTCGGTGTGGTGCTATTCCTACGTACCGGCTACCTGGTGGTCAGTATGCATACACTGTTTGGCCCTCTCTACCTCGATTTCCCTCTATCTTTCACATGTATTTCTTAAGCCAAACATATGAAGAAATATGTTTACTGAAGAGACAAAATAACAAAGATAAAATATTGGAATTAACCTAAAACTCAACCAAAATCTATAAGATATCGTTGTGTGTCAGATGTGATAGAAGTTCCCACTGGCGCACTACCCACACGCTCGCCAATAAAGCAACATCTCCTAATCTGTGGGATTCCTGTCTCACACTTGTCATTATGGTGCAAACCATGTAGTAGCTAAACCTACATGGTCAACATTTCAACGGCAACAGGGTAGACACCGATTAACCATAACATTATGACCACTGACGATGGGTGATGGGAATAACATTGATTATCTCGTTACCATGGCACCTGTCAGTGGGTGGGATATATAAGCCAGCAAGTGAAGATTGTGTCCTCAAAGTTGATGAGTTAGAAGCAGGAAATGTCTGTGAGGTCTGATCCACAGCCAAGCTACTGTAGGTCACATTGCTGAAAAAGTTAATGCTGGTTCTGATAGAAAGGTGTCGGAACACACAGCACATCACAGTTTGTTGCGTATGGGACTGCATAGCCGCAGACCAGTCAGGGTGCCCGTGGTGACCCCTGTTCACTGCTGAAAGCACCTACAATGGGCACGTGAGCATCAGAACTGGACCATGGAGCAATGGAAGAAGGTGGCCTGGCCTGAAGAATCACATTTTCTTTGACATCACATATATGGCCGGGTGCGTGTGTGTCGCATACCTTGGGACACATAGTACCAGGATGTACTATGGGAAGAAGGCAAGTCGATGGAGGCGGTCTTTGGGCAATATTCTGCTGGGAAACCTTGGGTCCTGCCATTCATGTAGATATTACATTAACGTGTACCACCTACATAAACTTGCAGACCATGTACATCCTTTCATGGAAATGGTATTTCCTAGTGGCAGCGGCCTCTTTCTTGCACACACACATACACACAAAGCAAAATGGTTCAGGAGTGGTTTGTGGAAGAAAATGAGTTCAAGGTGTTTAGTTGGCCTCCAAATTCCCCAGATCTCAATCCAATTGAGCATCTGTGGGATGTGCTGGACAAACAAGTCCAATCCATGGAGGCCCCACTTTGCAATTTACAGGACTTAAAGGATCTGCTGCTAACGTCTTGGTGCCAGATACACAGCACACCTTCAGAGTGTCTAGTGGAGTCCATCCTTCTTCGGGTCAGGGCTGCTTGATCGGCAAAAGAGGGACCTACACAATATTAGGCAGGTGGTCATAATGTTATGGCTGATCTGTGTATATGGGTTCATTTATGATATGACGACACACATTTGTTTATTTTCACCTTTACACCTTTTAATATCAAGCCTCATGTCTGGTGGTAACTGCTTTGTGCATTACACAGCTCTGTCTAGCTCTGTGGAGGCTTTTTATTTTTAGCTGGAGCCATGATTAAGTATCTGTCACCCTGTCGGTTGATCCCAAACACTTTAATGTGCATGTGTCATCACAGGACACAGCTACAAAGACAGTGTGATGTTAATTGCTACATCCGTTCGGATTGTACATGACAGCTAAAACATAGTTTGCCATGCGGGTCTCCCTATCAATTGTGAGATGTATCTCATCATTAATCACTTGCTTCCTTATTACTTATTGTGCAAAAGTAAAGCGGGTGTGATTTTCCTGGTTTAATGGGCCCGATTCCACCAGAACATCTTCCAAATATGTTTGCTATTACTCACCCTTCAATTTCCTTAATACTAAAACCGATGTAACGGATGTACAAAGTGTGCAGTGAATTACATACAAAGCAGTAAGCGCATAGGCACAGTTAAGAAAGTCAAGGTGTGTAGATATGTATCGCACAAGCTGTACATCATAAAATATATCCACTTTACAGCTGTAGATAACTGAAAAGCTACAGATGTATACATAGTCAGTATTTTTTTTGTGTCATTTTCTCCCCCAACATCATCCAGGGAAACACGGGTGTGCTGCTCGGGATGCTCCTGGTCTCCTTGGTCGTGCTGGTTGCTCTAGTGACGGTGATGTCGGGGATCGGAGTATGTGAGCACTGTGGTGTTGGGGGTGGAGGAGTCTACTCCATGATCTCCACCGTCCTGGGTGGCAGAGTGGGGGGCACTGTGGGCCTCCTTTATGTGTTCGGACAGGTCAGTAACAGAATCCGGACTTTCAGTGAGACTTCAGGGAGTTTTTTTTTTTTTTTTAAGCTTTTTGTTTGTAGACAAAAAGATTTAACACAGATCCACACATTTCCTTTACATTTTCCTATGCAGTGCGTAGCTGGGGCCATGTACATCACAGGTTTCTCTGAGTCTGTGGCAGAACTGCTGGGTCTACAGAGCCAATGGGCGGTGCGTGGCATGTCAGCGGCGGTGCTGCTGGCTCTGCTCGGAATCAACCTGGCCGGTGTCAAGTGGATCGTCCGACTCCAGCTGCTGCTGCTGGCTGTGCTGGCCGTCTCCACACTGGACTTTGTCGTCGGGACCTTCACGCACCTTGACCCAGGTAGGGCTGGGGGTCATGCATATGGAAGCGAAGGGTAAAGTAAGAAGGTAACAGGGATTGTGAGGAGGGTTAAATCTGTACTGATGATTTTTGCCAGTATTCAGTGTACAGTGTATGGGTATTTTCAAGGCAAAATAATCCTCAAATTAGTCAGTGTTTGCCCCAGAATTATGAAGCAACATTTAGCCAGATTACAATTAATTAGGCATTTCAGAAAATTTCTACAAAACAATAAGTGAAAATGCTTCAAGCATAAACTAGTTTGGGAACCACTGAACTAGACTGACTAGTATGGTGAACGTCTGTGACCTGTTAAGGCCAGTAGGTGTAGCTGTAGCATCACGTATTATTGTCAGTCTTAGTCTAGTATTCTGCTGGGGCTACATCTTCTACAGTTCACTTCCTCATGAGACTGATTTTTGCCGTTAACCTGTTTGTTTTTTTTGTTTTGTTTTCCTTCAGTGACTGTTAGAAACATCTGTAAAGTATTCCTACTCTTGTGGCTTATGCCAAGTCTGAGACTGGTTTATTGAAAAGATTTTTTTTTTTCTTTAGTAATTAGGAAATGTTGCCTTTTTTTAGTAGATTGTATTCTTTTGCTGGCCTTCAGGAAGTCCTTCCCTACATTTCCTGTTCTCACTGATTATTAACATCCTGTCGAGTGGGAAGAGCAAAGGGTTCCAGGAGTCACGCCAGTCTTTATGTGAATAGGAAATTATAGGCACAAAAAAAACAGGGAACATTAAACATGTAGTGCACTTAATAACAAAATGCACACACATATTTTATGCTTTTCCCAGCAAACCACAAGGAACTCAGTGTACATGTCCAGCCATGGGCAGAGGCTAGATTTTGCATGATTAAGCTTTACAACTCTTTGTACCAACTCACCAGTGTAAAAATAAGTGTGCAGTCCTCAAAAATTGTGCGAGAAACGGCCATAATGGCTACTCCAAGTTTTTCTAATTAAGTGTGTGTGTGTGTGTGTGTGGTGACCTCATGGCTGGCAGAGGACCAGCAGGTCCACTAGCTAGTTTAAACAGCCCAGATCAGCGTGCACTTGCTGAACGCTTGGCATATATCAGCGTTAAATACAAAGCAGGTCATCATCTTGTTTATACTCATGTCATCTGAAATGGACAAATTTAGAGCTGAATGATTAGTCGATTGGAAGAAAAGATTCATTGTTTAAGGTATTTTTTTTTTCTCAAGCTTGATGATCTGCTGATTTTCTCTGTTTTTAATCATTAACTGAAGGTCTTTGGGTGCTGGGGTTGGTCAAGAGAAAAATAAGACTCTGGGGAACTGTTATCAGCATTTTCTCACTATTTTTACATGTTTCATAGACCAAACGATTAATCAAGAACATAATCGGTAGTGTAATCTATAATGAAAATAGTTATTGTTGCAGTCCTATTCTCATTTATTCTGTATTTATTGCAAAGCTGACTATGCAAGAATCGGTATGAATGGTTATTTTAACTTGCGTTATCATCCTAAGTTTCAGTTATTAGATATTCCTGGCTTTAATGTAGTTTCAGTGGCTTTTATATGAAATAACAGTAAAGGTTATTCTAAAGATAATCAGCAAGAACTTTCATTTGTAGACTGACCTCATTTCCCCTGCCACAAGTGACTGATTATGACAAGTCCTTCCTGCAGTACAGTGACAGGTGGAGTTTCAATTTTAAAACTGAGGATATTTCATTTCCCAAGTGTAGCCTTCAAGTGTAGTAAATGTTCTAGTTTGGTCAGTGACACTGCCAATGTATTGTTTCTGCAGCCAAACAATTCAACTGCTAAACCCTCAGACTGTGGTGCACAGATGATATACAATCTTGCACGCCTTACCCACTCCCTTTTTAGATGAAGCCTATTACCCACAGAGCAGAAAGCCATAATGTGCTCGTTAGGTCTGGGGTTTAGGGTGTTAACCAGACTCACCCACATTTTTGTAAAATGACAAAGTGAGAAGGCCGGAACTGAGATCTGAGGCCTGCTGCTACTCCAGAGACCGCCACATCATCTCTCCCTGTGATTGCCATTATAATATATAGTTCTCAATCATCCCAGTGGGACCTGCTCCACCTCTGTAACATCGTAGGCCGCCCTGTTCTCTGCGCACAGCAGCTTATACTGGTTAGTGTGGGAGAGTAAGAGGTCAGTCAGACAGAGGGAGAGGCCTCAGACGCTCATGTAATCTGACTACACATTTTAGCTTGTATCAGAGGAATGCTGAATACAGAAAGGAGACCCACTCTGCCCGTACGGAAGTTTGCACCACAGCTTTGTCTAAAAACGTGTTTGCTCTGTAGGCCCATAAAGAGGAAAGATGTTGGGTTTATTTGCAGGTTTCTTTACAGATTAAGGCCTGCCCACATCACTTTACAGTTGATTACTCCAACCAGTCCATAAGATAGAATTGCGGACAGACCGACATTGCCTTAGAGCCGTGTCTCTAGTATGGCCAAAACCCAATATCAAGCCTAGTTCAACCAGTCAAAGCAGTGGCACTTGGCCCCAGACCACCCCCGCAACCCAAAAGCCCCAGTTTCACCCTGTGTCACATGGTAATTTGATCACTCGCAGAGTAGTTGGGAATTGATATCATGCCAATTTTTATTTATTACTGCAGTTCATATTGTGCTCACATGTTGCATATTCCTAATTACAGTTGTGATTCATCACATTACAACAAACTGACATTCATAAAATCTGGCGTCTGGTTCACTATGCAAAAAACATAATGAAGCTCCCATCTGTGTGCACTGCAGGCAACTGGAGCCCATCATCAAAGGTATGCCGTGGGGCTCCCAGTCAAGTGAATCTGGCCATGCCTTATATAGGTATGAGGCATGTGAGTGTGTAGTTCCACCAGAAAATGGGGAAACTCGCACAAACGTTTTGCTTGAAAGCCATTTGTTTTGCACCTTTCTTGAGATTAAATACTGTCTGTGTTGTTTTATAATTAAGTTGTGTTCATAGACATAGTTTTGCCTTTCTAAATATGTGAACGCCCTCAACTGAACACTCAGAATTAGGCATTTTTGGATGTTGGTGTATGATGTTTAGTTATGGGTGGGGAGCCCGCTGTGCAGACAAGGACACTGACTGCCCTGGATTTGTTAGATCCTGATTGTTTGGACAGAGGGTGGTCTCACTGGGTCACAGAGTGAATAGGAGTTTGGGCTCCTGGTCTCAATTTTGACAACCTCCTTAAATTCCTGTCCTGGAGGAAGTGCACTTAGAATAACTAGTATATCCAACCCTTGTGGTTGAGCTTTTGTCTAAAAACAAAAGGAAAAAAATGAGCATTCTCTCTCTCTCTGTATTTTCTCTCACTCTCTGTCTCCCTCTCTCGCTCACTCTCATTCTTTCTCCCAAACTTGGAAGCTGCTGAGCTTCTGAAAAGGGTGGTGACTTCCTTTTGGATAAACATGTCATTAATCTGAGAGAACACATTCTTTCCCATCGCAAGATAACCAAGGGGGGAAGCGTCCAGTGTTGTAACATAGGCTGGCCCTTCAGTCTGTGTTGTTTAAATGGCCCCTACTAATGCAGAACGATCTCCCCCTGCACATTCAACAAACTAACCTAGGCGTAACTAACCTGTCCTGAATACCTATTGTTGTCATTTATTTTGATTTTTAAAAAAGACTAACAATATTACATTAGAGTCATGAAGTCCTAGTTTAGGTGGCATCGTTTTAGTAAAAAAGAAATTGCATCGAAGTATGCATTTTTAAAGTTTTTTTTAATATTGCTAAAAGTAGTAGATGCAAACTGGACCTTCTGTTTGAGTTGGAGGAATTCAACATTTCAAACAAGAAACTTGTACCAGTTAAATTGTATATGTGAGAAACCACTAGCTCGCTGTTATTGCAGTATTTTTAAAACCTATATTGTTTTAAACTGTACGGTACTGTAGGTCGTTCTTAAATTAGTAATTTCATTTAGTTGACGCTTTATATATGTCAGAGGTCACATGCCTCTTGAGCAGCTAGGGGTTAAGTGTCTTCCTCAGGGACACAATGGTGGATGTGACACAGTTGGAATCAAACCCATGTCTCCCACACCAAATGCATGTGTTTTATACTATGCGCCATCACCACCCGGTAAATACATGCTGTGTTAACATTCCCATTAAGTCTCAACTTCTCCAGGACCTGGGGTCTCATTTATAAAACTATGCGTAGAAACCTCACTAAATATGTACCTACGCCCAAAAGCCAAAAATGGCGTACGCCAAAAAATATTCAGACTTATAAAACCGTGCGTACGCACATCTGTAAGCAAGTTCCCTTTATAAATCACAATCAACTTGAAATGTGGCGCATGTGAGGGAGCTCCATGTCCGACCCTTTAAACGCCCATAGTTGCCTATAAATGGTCAGTGAAACACCCCTCATTAATATTAATACGTACTTACTGCATGAAGAAAAGGAGACAAATTCTGGGGAAAAAATGAAATTTTTGAAAGGAAAGGGGGCACTGCATGCACTCCTATTTGCTCCACTGACGCACTGAAAACAGCATCAATTTAAATATAATTTGTCCTCCTGTTCACCTTATTTATGAAATAAATTGCACAGCATGCAAGTATTAATTAATATGATTGCTGAATTTTGAATAAGAAACAGATATCTCTGTTTGTGTTTATAATCCTAAATCTGTTTTTTGTATGCGCTGCAAATGATCTTGTGTTTTTTTGCGCACTTCAGGGAAAATCAAACAGGTGTTTGTTTATTCAGAAAGGCTTTAAGCCTATAATACTCAGGGGTTTACACAATAGTAGGTCTATACATTTCAAACAGTTTTATCCTTCTGCCATGTGAGTCGCCATTTCTCATTTCTCCTCTTTATGTGCGTATGCATGAGTTTACTTACAGGACCGCACATTCTCCCGTCAAGTTTGTTTTTTTTATAGATCACAACCTTTGCTTGGGAAGTGGCGTTCTTGATCTATAAAACAATTTACATAACCATTGGCCAGTTCATTTTAAAATGACAGATGAATGGTCATCTCCCACATGTTCCATTGACTCACAAATTCATTTTACAAAGTACTGAAGAATATTGCACCAGATGTGATGAAAAATCTTTGCTTTGTGTTGTGGGCTCAAATCATGAAACCTTTTATAAACCCAGTGGAAGAATCGTTTTCCCTGGTTTGAAGAAGTGTATAGCAGCTTTGGGTGAATTCATAAGAGAATGTAGATTGTTAAGAAAATGTCACTAGAATCCTAAAGACAACTTGCCAAACTTCATCTGCAGATGAATAGTCAAAAGCTCCAGAAACTCTACTAAATGGACCTTGCAGTGAGATTGTTTTCTAAAATGCTGAGAGTAGTTCAAAAATATCAGTATTGGTATTAGTTGCCCTTTGGATCAAATCCCATGCCAATAAAGCTATTTAAGAAGACACATTGCACCATGGACAGTCTTTCATAAAAATTGTCGGGCGTGTCAGAAGTTGACGGGTTTATAGTGTTGATACTTTTCATGGTTTACTCAGTGAAGACAGGCTGGAGATCTTGGCATAAGGTTCAGAAGTCATGTGCTTTGTGTGTTGTTGTCTCCTCTCTCAGAGCATGGTTTCATTGGTTATTCATCCGGGCTGCTCAGCAGTAACACAATGCCAGATTACACACCGGGAGAAACCTTCTTCACCGTCTTTGGGGTCTTCTTCCCTGCTGCTACAGGTGAGGTGGCGCCCATCATCATCTTTTTTTGATGTAACATTGGGTGAAAAACCTTAAGATTAACTGTCAACACTCAAGGCCTCTTTTCAGTTCTTGTAGCTACATACAGTGTAAAAATACATTTTGTGTTGCACAGTATGTTGTGTACATTTTTGTGGTTTGCATCTTTGTGTGTGTGTGTGTGTGTGTGTGTGTGCAGGGGTTATGGCAGGCTTCAACATGAGCTCAGACCTTCAGCGGCCTGAACACAACGTCCCTGTGGGAACGCTGGCAGCTGTCTTCACCTCGTATGACTTCACCCCAACACACACACATAATATTGTAAAATAAGAAAACACTACATGGACACAATTATGTACACAAGACTTGAACTATAGTAAGTGTACCGGCTGACCTACAGTGAAAGTATTTATACAGTAAGAAATAAAGACAACAAAGGCAAGCCTGCTGTAAAAGTACACAAATGGTAATACTGTGAAATGAGCTACAGTGAAGCTTGATGTGGCGCTTTAGCAAAATGTTAAGCTGTAGTATCAACAACTAAAAGGACAGTTTTCAAATATAACACTCTGGTCACATCAAGGTATGAATCATCCCAAAGGGTACTTTCCAGATGTTTTGATTTTACTTTTGCGGTGCCTCAGATCACTCCATTTATATCTTTTCAAAGGGCAAACTTTTCCACCTTCATTGGAGAGAACAAACAAACCCACATTCCTAGCATGGCCTATCTTCCCAGACACTCACTTGTGGAGCTGTCATGACACAGTTTTCCTATTAATAGTGACATAGCAGCAAATGTTAATAATCCTGCGTGGTGGACTGTTGGTGACCCACAGGTGGTTCCTGTATCTGGTCTTTGTCTTCCTCCTGGGGGCCATCTGCACCAGAGAAGCTCTGCGCTATGACTTCTTGATAGCAGAAAAGGTAAACTCCACTATCTGTTTCCATCCTGCCCTGTTAGAGAGGCACTCACAACACAAAGGGTGAGGTGAGGGGATTCCCCAGGATGGTGCACTTTATTGATATGGTGTGAGTATGTGGTGGGTGTGTGTGGTGTGTGTGTGTGTGTGTGTGTGTGGTTGATCACACTCAAGTAGAAATGCATATCATTTACGTCATACTCGGGTTCAAGTATATGCAAGCTACTGGCTCTGTACACTTTCACTTTCAAGCACCAGTTGTGTCTCCCACGTCAGAAAAATACTTTGACACAATCCACAAAGATATTATTTGGGGGGGGATGTGCAACTTGCAGATAATCCGGGAATAGTTTTCTTTATGTATTTATTTTTTCATATTGATCTGTTTTGGATGTCTTGTTTTTCAATTTGTTTTTCATGTCTTTTTTTATTTTTGTTCCTCCCTGAGCATGTCTTGAATAAAAATAATTAAAAATTTTAAAAAATAAACAAAACATGAGTGTGAGGAACGCATGTTTGCACCATTTGAGAATTTAAACCGCTCTGTAACATAAAAAAAAAAAAAACATGGGCTTTCAAGTACAGTTATTTAAAAATAAAAAAGAAGAACCAGGCATTACAGACTTAGTTTGTGAAGAGTAGAGGTGCGGGTAGATTCATGTACATACAATAACACACAGACTGTTCACAGCTGTGTGATGTGCGAGTGATTGGGCTGTGGTGAAGAACAGATCAGTGAGATGTCTGATGCAGTTAAGCTTTCCTTATATTTAAATATTAGATTTTGCTTTTCTGACCCTCTTCAAATTCCTTGACTTCTCCATCAGTGGTTAGTTGTCATTGTTTTCATAAGGGGCTGGCTGCAGCGGAACTGAACTGGGTGTAGCTGTTGTGAGCTCTCAACCCCACCCCATCCTCTTCCACCCTCTGTTTGTTTTCCCCTTTCCTTCAGGTCTCCTTGGTGGGCTTCCTCTTTCTGCTGGGCCTCTACATCTCCTCCCTGGCTTCGTGCATGGGCGGCCTGTACGGAGCACCCAGGATCCTCCAGTGCATCGCCCAAGAGAGGGTCATTCCTGCTCTGGCCTTCCTGGGAAGAGGGGTGGGTGGATGGAGCCATGTAGAGAGGGATGTCTGGACTTTGACAGTATACTCAAAAATATTAGCTAGAGTCTCCATGATGCAAATACTGATTATTTAGTCAGGGTGTGTGCTTCTGCACCAGGGAGTTCACTTACATGTAGGGTGATTTGCCGTCAACTCAACTGAAGTAAAACTATACTCATACTATTTAATTTTATGTTATTGCAAAATGATAGAGCAGTGATTAAAGTAAGCAGAACCCGGTAAAAATTTACCAACTTGGTGATAAGTAATTTCCCAGTAACTAAACTACATCTTTAAATAACTGCAAAACCACTGAACTATTGAGTAAATCATATTAACATGAGTCACACAAAGTTTGTAATAGTAATGTTTTCTGTGGTTGCCTGCAGTTAGTGGCGTAGAGAAACCCAATTAAGTGTGTGTAGCCTTGATGTTTTGGGGGGGGCTCAACAGGAAACAGTGACTGCCTAAATATAAAGTGCAGATTCCACTCCATAGAAGTACGTGGACTGACTAAATTACAGCAATGAGTTACGACTCACTGCTGCAACGCGTGTACACACACAGTCACGTTGACGTACTGACCCTGTTCACCCCGAGCTTTCCTCAGACCTCCCTGGATGGCAGCAGTGTCTGACCTCTCTCAGCGGGCTGGAAAGAGGCCCTAGACATCTTGGCCCGAATCAAAGCTTCAGAACAAACGCAGGAAGGGTGACGGGCAGGGCCCTGCTCCACTGTGTGCTCTGGAGGCCTGCCAGGCACACAGCAGTACTAGTTAAACTTTGTGATAGGACCTGGGAAGTGAAAGCAAGCTGGTTAACAAACCACATGTTAAAACAATGTATCCATTTAAAGAAAGGGCTTGTTGTTGGGCTTTGTCCTCTTGTCGCAGATGCTGTTTCACCTACGGTATCTATCAGTTTCATAATGTTTAAATAATCAGATTCAGTTGTTTTACACTTTTTTTTTTTTTTTTTTTGGGAGTAGGTCATACGTGTCTTCTTAACATATTTTAATTAAATGTAATGTAGCAGAAAATAGTATAAATGCTAGGAGTGTGACTTACTTTCTCATGGACTGTGCAGATGTCAAGGGTCAGGTTAGCATTGAGCAATGACTGAGCAGGGCTCCTGACCAAAGAAAGGCCAGAGAAGTCACGGGAAGATTTTGTGGAAAGGGTCTATTTTGCTGCATTGCAATATGAGTTTGCATCCCGTTGCTCCACATGTCATCAAAAGGTAACGAAAGACATGACGGAAGCAAAGATCTCTAGATGGAGTGCTGTCTTTTCTGCTGGTTTGGTTTTATATCACTCAAATTTAACTTTAAGTTTCATCTCATCAATCCGTGTAGGTGGCTGTTTGCGCACTGTGTTGCCTTAGGGACACAAGCCACGTGTTTTTTTTTTCCATAGCGTCATTGTCCTGTGAAACCCTTGTATCTCCAAAACATCAACTTTTCATGAGTTAATTAAAAACGGGTCTGTTTTCAGCTTTGTGATGATGCTTTTTCCAGAAAATGGTTAATTTAGCCATATAGGAGTATTTTCTCAAACCATAAAGGAACACTTCATCCTTATTATTTATATTTGGTTATTTGTTGTTTTTTTTTTATTGTACAGCAACTGTAGAGCAGCCATCACTTACCATATTGTGACACTCTCTCCCTCTCTGACAGAAAGGCCCAAACAGGACTCCAGTGGCAGCTATCTGCCTGACCAGCCTGCTGACCATGGCCTTCATTTTCATCGGTCAGGTCAACGTGCTTGCCCCCATCGTCACCATCAACTTCATGCTCACCTACAGCTTCATCGACTACTCCTACTTCTGTGTGGCCAAGACTTTCCAGATGCAGATTAAAGAGAAGAGGGACACCCCTGTCCCGGCCACAAGAAACCAGTGTAGGTCAACTAGGCACAGCTCTAGGCCTCTGATCGAGGACACTCTCCCAAACTATGGGAGTGGAGGCGAGAGTCGGCAGGGTAAGGGCACTCTGTTGGAGTTCACCAAGGACATGGACCGGATCTTTCCCCACATGCCAAATGGGGCTGAGAAAACTACGTCCCTGCGAGAGCTGAGCAGTAGATGCAAGAGCACAATGGTAAATGTTACTACTAAGCAGAAACTGATGGACAGCTTTTGCTTGGACCCAAACAGCAATATGTTCTCAGAAGAGAAAGCAGAGGAGATTAGCTCAGCTCCACCACATGAGGAAGCTCAGAAGCAGTGTGGAGGCGGGGAACCCAGGGCTGGTGAAGAACTACAAATGGATCACCCTTCAAAAATCTGCCTTGCTGAGCAGCCTTCATCTGCTGACCTTCACACTCACAGCGCAGGTGATCATCTCTAACCATCAAATGCTAGGTTTGGCGAGACTAGACAGGAGTAGAGCTCATGAAGTTAGTTGGACCTGATTTTAGTAACCCAACTCTTTATTGAACCTTGCAGGTGCTGGAGGTAAAGCGGAGCACCAGAGTGTTGAAATCACACCCATGCAGGATTCATTCTATGCAAAGTTCTGCAACCACTGGGTTGCTCTTATCGGGGTACATTACACACTTCATGCTGTACATTATTTATTTTTGTTCCAATGGCTTACTTTCAGATGATAATTACAGAATGTTTCAAATAATGCAAATATGTCATTTGTTTGTCTTTCAGGCATTGAGCTCCATATTGATTATGTTTGTTATTGAGTGGGTTTATGCCTTAGCAAACATAGTCGTTGCCTTGCTGCTCTTCTTCTACATCGGAAAAACAAGTCCTGGACTACCTACAGGTGATTTCAATCAGTTCATTTCCTGTTAGGGTGACCAGATGTCCTGACTAGGACAGGACAGTCTCACATTTTACAAAACACATGCAAATATCAAGTTGATGAAATGCTATACTAACATAATCTGGGAGAGAGGGAGTTCTCTGTGTCTTTCACATACTGTATGTACCGCCTGCACCTGTGCAGCATTTTCCAGCTTGGTTATGCCCAAGTGAACTTCGGACATAAGATGCATTTGGGCGCAGCAACTTTGTAGTTGCGAAATGTTGAAAATGTTTTTGACACTGTACAGTCGGCTCTGAGCTTAGCACTTAAAGCTAATGTTAGCCTGCTATTGAGGGCTCATCCATACTTCCCATGATGGACGGAGAGCGATTCTAGTCCAGTACACCTCTTATTGAGGTTTGATTGGATCTGAACATCAGTAACCAGTTCACCTAAATAGACAAATACTGTACATACTACTCTTTCACTTGTTGGAATATCTTTTTGATTCTGGTAAAAAAGCAATTTATAAGAAGAATTTCTATTTTGTTAAGTATGGCTTTTGACTAAATATGAGCCACTTTGCTTTTGCTAGTTTTTGTCCATTTAGCAGATGTTGGAAAATTGTTGATCACCATTTGGTTCACCACTTGGTTTCAAAAGAAGTTAGGGCTTATTTTCTGCTCAGTTGTCAGTTCATCACTAAATACACTTCACAGACACTGCGTTTTATAAATTATATGCTGATGTTTTTATGACACATTCTCTGTTTTTCAAACTTAACGGGTCAACTGTGATGCCGATGAAGGAAAAGTCTTGTTTTTGCCGGGTGTGTTACTTTGGTTTTATGTTTACAAGGTAATTACATTAAGTTTGTAACTTAAGCCCTTTTATAACTGCAGGAGTACTGCCTTATATAACATAAAGCACAATTGCTGTATGTATTTATTATGTCAGTAAGTAAGTCAATTAGTTAGTCATATTATCATCCCATTTTGTCCAGCACAAGAGCTCCTGATTCGCAGTTTAAGCATTTAGATTTGGTCACTCTGACATTCTGGGACCTGGTAATGTACTTTGCTGGGAGTTTCACTTTCAATCTTTTTTGCCTGGCAGGCTGGCAGCTGTTGTGGCTTAGGATTTCTAGAATAGCTGGATAGGACACCCAGCATCTGTGCATTAAACTCACCACATTACTTGGCCTTTGCTGTCTGACTCGACAACATTTCTGAGCATAGGCTCTGCAGGTGTTACCCACTTGTGGTGTGGTGGGTGTGATACTGTGTGTTTTCTCTCCGCTCTGCTACTACACTTCTGTGCACTAGTACAACTTCAAATACCGACACAATAAAAAGGGTCTTCATAGTAAATTTCAGATTTTTTTTTTCTACCCTTTTTCTGCAGCAATAATTGAAGTATTTAAACTCATTTCTTCAGATAACAGTTTGGGTTTTCATTTATTTGCAGGTATTGCAGCTCGATTCAGCTTTTTCGCATGGCTCAAATCAACAGTGAATAGCATTTGCAGGTATTGTGTGGTTGTTATGGTATAAAATGGCCAGTCAGGAATCAGTTTTTAAGTCTTAAAAATGAGAGATTTAAATGTAATTCCAAAAAGACATTTAGTCAAAGAAATTTCATACATAATCTATTGGTTCTTGTATTACTAAGTCATAGGAGATAAGATCAAAAATGTTGTCTGCAATTATTAGTTTTCCCATGTCACACTGTCGCCTGAAACACATTTCTCCGTAATATCTTTCAGGAGGAAAGGCTCTCCTCGGGATGAGATCGTAGTCACACCCTCTCTGTCCAGCGTCGGCCTGAAAACCAAGCAGCTGACAGAGGATAATGCTGACTTTGCCTCTCGTCACCGCTATCACCAATCCTCATTTATCAGGGCCAACAACATGGTGCAGCCACCACACCAGTGACTCCTGTTACAAGTCATTGTCCTCAGCCTGAAACCACATTTTCTGCCTCAAAATGTGTCTCCTGTTGCCTTTTGGGCCACATTCTACACATACAAAATACAAATTGTATTTAACAGACATTCATACATTTAGTGGCTCAAATCATTTCCCTGCGATAGATGGATAAGTGTGTGTGTGTGTGTGTGTGTGCTATTCGTGGACTGGTGGTAGCTGGTTGTCAGATTACTGTACTGCTGAGACACTTCCAATAAGTCTAGCCACCACGGTGATTGGCTTAAATATCCCGTGTAAATGTGACACAAATGTTTAATTAAAATATGTTAGTTTACTTGTGCATGTATAGAGTTAATTGTTCATTGTCTTTTATTTAGTTTGCTGTCACATTGAAGTGGTGGTCTAAGTCTTATTGCAGACATACAATAATTTAGACATTACAAAGAAAGACAAAATTGTAATTTTCATTACTGGCATCTGACTCAAAAACCCAAATGCAGTGAAAATAAGCCTCAGATGACAATTTACACGTCACTTCACTTCTTTAAACATAAAAACCAAGATAAGCAGGTAAAATAAGCTGGTATAACAACTGTGAACAGTATCTTACATAAATTATGAAGGAATAGCCATTCAATGTAGTTGAGGATACATCAACAGTTTACTCCCGAGTTTCCTCCACAACAGCTACACAATTTAACAGATGTTGAAGTTGTTTTTAAATAAAAGATGACCAATCAGTCAGTGTTTAAACGCTGGAACACAGTGCCAAAGATTCTTCAAATGTGATGAAAATCAGACCAGCGGCGATGACAATGACATCGGAAGGGATGCTTTAAATTGGGTTAAATCAAAACAAAAATGTGATATTACATGTCTTTGAATGGATCAAAAGTTTCTACGTGAATGTTAACCATTCATCACATAGCCACTTTGTGGCTCATTGTCACTTCAATCCAGCACTTGTAAAGAAAATATTTTTTGATTTGAAGACAGCGATGGATTTGTTTTAAAATACATACTGAATATATTTCAGGTCATTTTATCTGGGTGACAGTGTGCATCGCAAGGTTTCAAAGGAGTCACTGTTCTAACAGCTCAGCAGTATAGGTGTAAAAACCACTTCCTCTTAGTGTTGTCTGAGCTGCAACCCGCCAACAGGCTTGCAATCATCTGTAAAGATACTGGTACACTGGTTTCTCATCATGAGCTGGTCTTTGGATGACTCCATCAGTACTAACAAAATGGTTTGGAGATATGATGGTTGTGAGCAGTGGAGCTATTGATCTGCTTATTAACACATAGTCACTTTAATATCTGAATTTTAGTTGATGATAGCTTGAAATGTCAGTAGTGTTAATAAAATACACCTTTGAGTTAGGCCTGAACAACATGGATAGAGAGAAAAGCAACGGCAAATGTAAAAAAAATATCTTTAAATTACTGGTATTTGTATTCCAGTAATTTAATGCACTTTCACTAGCCATTTGTTTTGGGTTTCTGCACTAACTACCTCTCTCTATAAAAAAACTTACACAATTTATCTGTAACACTATTTTGCCTTGAAAGGTTTGCTTGAAGGTTTGTCTTTTGGAATAAACATGTGCTATATAAGGCTTTCTGTAAATTGTGTTTCTGTCATGTCACCCATAATCTTAACTTGGCACAATTCCGAGTTCAACATTTTTCACTGGTCCCAGCCAGCCAGAACACTTCCTAGTAACAGTCTAGCCTGTAAATCAGTCTGGTTGTAGCTAAAATATCCTTCAGCAATCAAATTCACTAACAGACACTTGGGATGCTTTGCGGGGGAAGGTGTTGAAGATGAAGATCATCTTAAGCTTTAAAATTATTGTAATACTAGGACATGTCACAATGAAATTAAGAGTTAGTGGGCTGTCATTGTTGTGACTTTTTATGTCTTAATTATGGTAAGCCTACCCTGCAGGTCAGAACTATTTCACTTTTATTAAACGACTTAACGTGAAATTCTGCGATTGCTATTTAAATATATATATATTTTAAATGGGAATGGTGGGTTGCCATGTCATCCAGAGCAGATGAATTGGCAAGGGTGTGAACTTGTGTTGTTTGTCTCTTAACTGTAAGTCTGAAGCATCGATACACTATCTGAAAAAGGAACATTTCCACTTTTTTAACTGCAGGACTTCCAACAACACCTGAAGGCATCAAGCGCAGCCACTGGGGTTGAATAACAGGACAGAGTGAAACCACCACTGTGTGTGTGTGTGTGTGTGTGTGTGTGTGTGTGTGTGTGTGTGTGTGCGCGCGCGCGCGCAGGAGGAGGAGGAGGAGCCCGCGCTCCTCCGCTGTGATAACAGGCTGCTGCCTCCGCTCTGTTATCTTCCGTTCCCCGCCGGCCGATCTGCGGACCTCCTCCGGACCTGTACTAGGATTTATTTAATTCTTATGAAACTTCAATAATAGCCTAGGCGCTCCTCCCATGGTGTCCCCGGGAGACTCCCCGGCCTCTACTCGACTTTACGGAAACTATCGGCGACCGTTTTGGGGACTTGAAAATCATGGAAACGTGGTTTCTGAATCACGTCCTCGGTTTGTCTCTGTCGGTCCTCCTGCTGGGTCTGCCGGGGGCCCTCGGGGCAGGGACCCCCAGTAACAACAGTACGGATCCGGTAACGGCAGTATTTGATTATTCAACAGCCAAAGATAAACTCCGTAACCTGGAAAACAATGCGACTTCAACTTCATACTCCAGCGAGAGTTTGTCACCATCACAGAGGAACAGCCTGCTCACACGCGCTGCTGAGACACACACTCCTACTGCTGGAAACTTTGGTAAAATCACTCTCACTAAGGCCTGCAATGGCAAGTGTAATTGTTTAGACAAAATGTTCTGTTTGCCGAGTTTACCACACTTCTCCCGGATGAGAATTTCGCCCCCCTGCAGAGGAAATGCTTTATAAATGTCTACATTTGATTTCCACCTCGTTAAAGCTATATGAGCTATAGCTGGAGGACACAATAGAAATCCAGCAGCAAAGCTCATTTGATAACACAACAACTGGAGATATCTCAACTGTTTGTGAGGGTTAGAAATCATCTATTAATTACAGCTTTAGATGTCCAAAGTGAAGATTTCCTGCTGTGAAGAGCCTAACTGAATTATCAATGAAAAAGCTAAAAGAAATGACATTTCTTATGCTTCTCTGCCAAATTGAATTTAACTTCTATGCATCCAAGGCGCCCTGTCATGAAGCAAGTGCACTGCTGTTTTTGGTTTGTTTGCTTTAGTGTAGTTCTGTGACTAACAATTATTTTCATTATAGATTTGTGTTCAACCAGAATATTCACATTTGAAAAACTGAAACCAGTACATTTTTGTCATTTCTCCTTAGAAAAATGAATTTAATGGTCAATCGATTAATGCAAATTTAGTTTCTGTCAGTCAACAGAATCGATTCGTATAAACAGTGTTTTTAAGGCAATTTAGTTAACATCTTAATTTAGTTTTAGAAATGTGCTTCACCACTCATGAATGCATCACTCCGGTGATCTAATCTCAAATCTGATCAGCATCCTCACTATTTTTGGCACCTTTGCTAATTTCCTGTCAGCACATGAGCTTGAGGTGCTGCTGCCACCACAAGTCCTGACATTTGTTCATTCTTTCCGGTTGTTGATAAGGTGTGTGGCGTTAGAGCATCTTCTCACCTGTGCAGCATGTGGAATAACCATTACGCCTTTTTGTTTCCCCATAACGAAATATTACTGAGCAGTCATAATCAAGAATATGCATTTGAAGTGTATGAGGCTGAGGAAAACCACATCTGAACCACACACCTATAGAGCTTTGAATGCAAGAATGGGATCTCTGGCCTAGTTATGTTTACAAGGCCGAATGTCAGCCATCATGCCATAAGAAGAAAACCTTTGTCGTTTGTGGTAGACATTGTCACGTGTGCGGCTGGTAGATTCAGGAAAGCATGTCTCGAAACATTCCTACACAATTGTGACTCTGAAAGCAATGAAAACAAAAAGAATCAAGGGCTTTAATTGCTAAATGTGTCATTTTCAGAGAGCCAAACAGAGGGTTTAGAGCTTCTGCGCTGGGGGCAAAAATACTTTTGAACCTAAACTCCAGCCAGAGTGAAGTAAGAGAGATTTAAGTTCTGAAGGTAGGGGTGAAGAATTTTCAGAAGTTATTTCTGAATACCAGAATGCATAATACAAACACTTGGAAGCATGATTCAAAAAAAGATGCCATAGAACATCCAATAATGTCTGGAACCTTTACCTCATGAACAGAGCACAAACTTTATTACAGTTTTGCTTCTCAAACCTGCACAACTTCCTCTAAATCTAAACTTAATATAGTTCCAGTTAAAATGCAGTCATGTACTCCTCTTGTTTGTTGTATTACCATAATGTTACCATTATTACTACTGTAGTACTACTAATGTGACTAATGTGTGTTTTCCAGTTGGTAAAATGTCAGTGATAACTTAAGTTGCACATCATTTAGATGTTTGTCCAGTGAGATTTTCGCTTGTTTTCAGTCATGCTTGATTCATTCAGACTGGGAGCTGCCCAGTACAATTCTAGGAAACAATGTGAGGGCCAAATGCTTTGCTCAAAGGCTCAAAGGCAAAAAGCAGTTGCTGCTAAGAAATGATAAAGTGGAAATGATTCATTTTTGTCACAGTAATTTCACTCAAATTCACACTTCCTGATCTGAACAGGGCCTTCAAGGTGAGGTCAGCTCAAAATTTGATCACTGAGTATGGCAAATGTCTACGGCAACAAATGAGCCGTTTGCTGTTAGTTGGCAATAAAATATCATTCCATCGCCCATGCCCATTAATACGCCAAATTTAGTTCATTTGGCTATATTAATATGAAAACTGCAAGTGTAGCAGATGCGAAAAAACAACGCTGACAACCGTGTTAACAGTTGAAAGCTGAGAGATAAACAGCAGAGAATGTGGGAGCGTCCGCCACTTGTTGCCAACACCACGTTCCAGTCTAAGTTTTGTTGCCCAGACTGGATCCAGAGAGAAAACAAGAGAGACACATGCAGAGGAAGTAAGAGAGAAAAATAGAGTCCAGTGGCCCAGTTCTCCTCAGACTCCCAGTGGACGGGCTGTTCTGCAGTTGAACTCTCTACTCCATCGGGTTTGGATGGTGGTGGCTGGTTGCTGTGTGTTGGCTGTCCGGATGCTGCCCAGCACTGACGCTCATCCTCAGAGTGCTGTTGTTCCAGTCATGGGCCTCTGGAGACCGGCCACATAACAAGCTTTCAGACAGCACAAGCATAAGTGATTGGCAGAGAAGAAACCTTCAGGTCAGAGAAAGACCTCATGTTGGTTGCTCTTTATGTAATTTAATGCTGCACTCATCAATATTTTTATGTAAACAACAGATTATATGACTTTTTAAAGTGAAATAGGTCCTTAGTAGTGATGAACCCACAGATAATTATCACCTCTGCAGTTCTCCTCAGCTCTATGGTGCGTTTTAGAGTCTTTCAGCTTATTGTTTTGGTTTTATGGCCTGCAGCTTTACCCTACTTCCATTTGGCCAAAAAAATCTTAAATCTTAAAGTAATGATTCACTGTCTTGATACTGACAAAACAGCTTTATTTAAAACTTTTTCTGGGGCGTTCCAGAGGCATCTGAACCCAACATCTCTTCATTGATTTCATCTTTCCCTTTGTCATCCCCCTTGATCTCTATGCACGGTTCTTGTCCATCTCTATTACCAAATGGAAAAGGCAAACTGTAAAAAATATATACAAATGGGTGATAAATGAAAGGAAAAAGGATGGAGTCAAGCCAACATGAGCCTCCAGAACACTTTAGTGCTCCTGGCCAAGTCTGTGGAATTCTGTTGGAGGGATGAACACCTCCACAAGCTAGTCCCTCATTTATATATACTACCTTTATTTAATCAGGTAATGTGACCTGTGTACAGGAGATTGAAAGAACAATAATATATAGCATCAGAGACAGTCACACACATCACTAATTAGATTTGAAGATAATATATAAGTTCATATTATATCATATGGTGTTTGTGATGGTGGTGGAGAGCATTGTGATCTGGTGACTGTTCTCATACTCACCAAACTGTTCAGAGACGCCTAGGACATAGAAACATCTGCATTTGATATGTTTCTCCACTCTTATTCAGGTTTTTCCTTTAATTTGTAGCCCGTCTGTATTATGTAGAACAACAATCCCTGTTGTGTAGCTGCGTTCTTTTTTGACACTCTTGATAACGTTTGGGCGTTATTTTATGACTTAACAACAATTTTGAGCCAGGCTAAAAAAAACTCTCCACAGACACTTAACACGCCCAGACCCATGGTGACAATTTTCTGCCAGTGCCTTGTGCTCACTCAGCTTTAGGAAGGAAATGGCTGATTCCCAGTGGAGACAGCCACCGCCATATTTAGGACCTCAAGCCTTTGTTAGAGTAAATGAGCCCGGCTGCCAATTGTTCTCCACCCAAAATCGTTGCCTCTCCAGCAAGCAACAGCAATTCTGACTGCATCTTCCCCTTTTTTCTGCAGTCTTTGCAGGCCTGACACAGTCTGGTGAGCCCCCTCTGGTGGCCACAGCTGGCAGTGAGCTACAATATGTACAGTTTGTAATTTCCCAGAAGCTGAGAAAGCTAGAGAGAAACACCCAGATCGTGAATATTATTTAGAAGGTAGTAGATAGATGCTTATAAAATACATGAGGGATTGATAACTTGATAATGTTACTTCCTTTTTTCTTTTTCCACAGACACTGAGCAGACACAAACCTTCACAGAAACAAGCAGCGGGTCACTAGAGGACATAAGCCTATCTACTGAACCACTCGCCTCCACCTTTGTTGTAGCCACTACTGAGTCCAGCAGCAGCCAGAACTGGAAAGATTTTACTAACACGGACCAGGTACCAGACGCTTCCCCTGCTGTGTCCTGGGAGGCTGGTTCCTGGATATTGATAGAGAAGGCCGGACTTCCCCAGGACAGTCCAGGCACCACCCTCCGACTTGGAGATGTCTCAGCCTTGATGTCCAATACAGCCGTCCACACCGACAGCACCTACACTTCCACCACCAGCCGAGCTGGGGAGAGGACCCTGCTATCTGTCACCTCCTCTTCCAGCAACAGCACCTCCTCTGCCTTCACAGAGGACTCCAACTCTCATCAGCCCCCCTCTACCTGGGGTATTTCTGCTAGTGCTACAGAGACTGAGGACTACACCCACAGCGCGCCATCCTCCAGGACTGACAGCAGGGACACAACAGACCAGCACATGACCCAGTCCTTCAAGGGGACGTTTTCAGAAACGGGGAGCCCGGGGGGCCCAGAGGAACCCAAGGCTTAATCGGAGAGTTTAATGCCACCCAGTATCAAGACAGCTCAACATCAGAGGAGACCTCTGACTCGACTCCACCTCTTAGAGTGACAGAGCCCAGTACTGGCCAATCTGAAATGTCCTTTTCCTTCACACCTCCTGTCACCTCACCTGCAGAAGTTCCTACAAACATCTCAGGGACAGACCAGGGTCCGGCTCTAGTGTTGGAAGCTCCACTGAGTCCTCCACTGGAGCCCACAGCTCCAGCACTCAGAACCAGGAGGGCACTGAGGGGGTTTCGTCCCAGACCAGGGAGGGAAACGTGACCTTGGTTCTGACCACAGCACCCCCTACAGTCACCAGTAGTACATCTGAACTGGATGACTCTCTGACAGGCACTCCAGTGCTGATTACTAAGGTCTTCCTCACCACCACACCTGTCACTGTTACAGAAAGGTTAGTTATATTGTTTTTTTTAAACTTTGTGCTTAATTAATGAGTGAATAAATACAATGCTTTGCTCATTATGTTGAGTGATCGATAACACTGTCATGTCAGTCCTGACATTTGCCATCGTTGTCTGTAAGAGACTTGACTGATTTATTTTCTCTTTAACAGATCACAGATAACAGAGGAAGACACTTTCAAAGCCACTGCCTCAGCCACCACCACCACCAGCACCCCCACCACCACCACCACTACCATACTTCCTCCAACAGTAACCTCATCCCCCAGGTTCAGTAGCACCACTAGCAGCTCTACTCCAGGGTCACCTACCGATGCCACCATCCCGTACACTCCACCCTCCACCACAGCCTCCACACAGGTCCTGCAGACCAGCACAGCCCATCCAACTCACCGTGTGTCCACCAGCCAAACTCAGGAGCCCTCAACCGAGATGGCTAACCCCACAAACATCACCACCGTGCAGATAGAAACAAGCACAGGTACTCTGGGAATCACCAGGGCTCATGGTCAGCGCATCATCACCACCCACACCCACAGCACCCCAACCAAGAGTACAGAGGCTCTGCAACCACTGGGAAACAGACAGAGAGAGGAACTACAGAGCTGGTGGTGACGACATCATCCACCAAGGCACCACCACCGCCACCAAGTCAGTAGTTAACACTCTCCTTCATTTTAAGTGACAACCCTAAAACATTCAGTTTTCACAGCTGTAGTAACTATTGCTGTTCATGCTAACTAATACTTCTTTTACTTACTATAACCAACTGTATTTGTAAAAAAACAGAGCTTGTATTTTGAGTACAATCATACATTCCAAAATAATGCCATGCAAAACTATGTCATTTCTACTTACATATATATTTTTAAATCCCTTCCTTAGGCTATGATAAAGTATAAACTAATGGATTAACGGATTAGTAGTAATGCCACTGTATTTAACTATTTTTAAAGGTTCAATTTCTTGCGTTTTATGGTAAAATGCCTCCTCCTCTCTGAAACCCAGGAGACCCCTGTGTGTCAAACCCTTGTATGAACGGAGGGATGTGTTTGAGCTCTGAAGGGCATCGATTCACCTGCCACTGTCAGCAGGCATGGACAGGACGGACCTGTAACCAGGGTGAGCCTCTCTTCTCTCCTTCCTGAAAGTTTTATAACAACACTGTCAACATGCAAGTCCTTTTAAATTGTTGTGTTTCAGCGTACCCAAGCATGACATTTCCGGACAAGTATAATATAAAATATTTTTTTCCACATAGCGCTGAGGGCTAGGATTTTTATTCAGGTTTCTGGATTCAGTGAAGGCTCTTTAAAATATATTATTGTAAAAAAAAAAAAAAACCTTTATGTGTCCAGATATGAATGAGTGTGAGAGCGATCCCTGCCCAGTTGGGTCCAGGTGTGTAAACACTCGAGGATCCTTCAGCTGTGAATGTCCGCTCGGCTTCGACCTGGAGGACGGACGCACCTGCACCAGAGGTAAAACTCTTAGTAATATATAACAACTGTAAAGCAATAATGCAATCACAGATGATACATGAAATAGACAAATATAAATTACATTAAAAAAATGTGTTCCCAATCCATAGCAAAGACGTTTCTGGGAACTTTCAGTGTTAACAGGCAGCCACATGACACAGTTGTCCTCAAGAGCGCCACCCTGCAAGAAATCCAGAGAGAGATCATTCAGCTGGTGAGAAGCGGTCCACATCGTTGCATCGTCTCTGCTCGTTTCTGACAAAATCTCTGTTAGGCGTATATGAATTAATATCTAAAACATGCTTTCTTCCCGTCTTCACCTCAGCTCAATGCTTCGTTGTCAGTCCTCCGAGGTTACAGCCGCTCCACGTTGAGCAAGAAGTAAGTTATTGCATCACTAAACCATTCATTTTCTGTTGGGGATAATAATATTTATTTACCCCCTTGATACAACAGCCTTCATTAGAGTAAATCTAGCATTTTCTGAGAATTTGTTCATTGAACGTGGACATTTTGTCTCTGTAGACCTCTGTATCGACCTCTGCTCTCTTCCCCTGCAGAGAAGAGGACGGGGTTCATATCTCAGCTGTCAACATGTTTTCCATATACACTGATGTGACAAGTGCTGAGGTCTACAACAGCATCCAGATGTATCTCAGCAACTGCAGCTCCTCACTGGCACACTGCCGGATGGTCCTGCACCACCAGCTCACGTATCACAGTAAATATAATAACCAGAATTCATAATGAACATCATTGCGTTCAATGCAGTTCTTCTCTGGCCTACTTCAACTGTGATTGAAGGCAGACAACCAAAAGTAGCTGTGAATATGTTTGCAGCCACTAGAGGGCACATTTTATCTGTTAACAGCTCCCTCATGAAAGGTACCATGATACTATTTTGGACAATATCACACAGTTACATCATCACTCAAAAACTTCATCATCCAGCTGCTATAGTTCACAATCTCACACTGCATGGAATCCTACCATAACACCAAAGAACAAGAGTGTACAATAAATACTACAATAAGATCACTATGAGCACACAAATACAATAGCAATTTTATGTAGACGGTTGTTGTTGTCGATAGATAGTCTTCCCCCTTGAGATGTTTCTGATATCTTGGACTATACTCGTGTGATCCAAGTCGTGATCAGATTCCTGTTTTGATGTACTCATGACTAATAGTGTCCACTCTGTGTCCCAGTGGAAAGTCTTTGTGTGGCCCAGAAGACTCAGTGTGATACAGAACGCTCCACCTGCACAGACAACAGTGGCACAGCCTCCTGCCAGTGCCTTCAAGGATACTATAAACACAACCCTGACGACCTCTCCTGCCTAAGTGAGCTGAGTGTGTGTGTGTGTGTGTGTGTTCGTCTCACTACTTACTGTGAGTGCATGTGGTTTTACAAGTGACTGCAATAATGAGGAATAGTAAATATAAAAGCAAACCATAGATGGATCTGATTAAAACTTGAAAATGTTCCTCTATGGTTTACACCTTACAATACAAAATAATGACGAAAATGTTGATTCTTCTAGATTTTAAGAAAATAGTTTAAATTAAAGACATGGAAATTTAGCTAAACAATATATGCTCTGGAATTTCCTTATATCAATAACTGTGTAACTGGATGTTTTCTGAACAAAACTCCCTGTTTCAGATTGTGGGGATGGCTACAAGCTGGAAAATGGCACTTGTGTTCCGTAAGTTCATTAATTTTTTCCCCTTACAGTATGAATCCAGTTGTACTGAAAGATGTAAGACCACATTCTCACTGCAGAGTCTGTTTCTACTTTTCAGGTGCGTGTTTGGATTTGGAGGATTCAACTGTGGAAATTGTAAGTGGCCAAATGTAATTACTCAGTTTCAATAGAAGATATTTTTATGAACTTGAGCCACAAATTTGTGATCTTTACATATGTTTTTACTGTTATACAGTTTACAAGCTGATTGCAGTCGTGGTGTCACCTGCAGGGGGTGCTCTGCTCCTCATTCTCATCATCGCTCTCATTGTCACCTGCTGCAAGTAAGCCTGCTGTTAACTTTGATTTTGTTGCAGTAATCTGTCTCGCTCTACTGTATTATCTAAGTTAAATTATCCTAGACTATATAACAAGTGCAATTACCTGTTAGTCGAATATTTAAATAGTAACTTAAAGGTCCAGTGTGTAATATTTCTGAGGATTTATTGATAAAAATGCAATAGAAGATCCATAACTATGTTGTGTAAACCGTTATGTTTTTATTACCTTAGAATGAGCCATTTATAGCTATACCCACCTTCCATGGACGTTGTGTTGTCATGTTTCTACAGTAGCTGAAAATGGACAAACAAAGCATGTTTCATTACATTTATTTGACGCTTTTATCCAAAGCGACTTACAATTGCAATACATGTCAGAGGTCGCGCGCCTCTGGAGCAACGAGGGGTTAAGTGTGTTGTTCAGGGACACGATGGTGGGTGGGTCACAGGGGGATTGAACCCCGGTCTCTCACATCAAAGGCAGGCGTCTTATCCATTGCACCATCACCACGTCAGTGTGGTCATCTTGTTCTACTTCTGGTAGAATTCAGGCAGTGCAGACGCTCATCACTATGTTGAATATGTATGTTGAAGAAATACGTTGTTTGTTTGTTTTTTTTAACCTTTATTTTACCAGGAAATCTTTTACAAGGATGTCCTGGCCAAGATGTGAAACAGCACACAGTGCAAGGTGCAAACAAATGTACAGCAACATTATTCATAAAAGTAACAGTATTATTAAATTATTTACAACAAAGTATCACATAAAAAGACATAAAAGCGTGACATCATAATTTGACTAAATGTCACAGGTGCAAGATGTGTTTAAAACCTCTGACAGTTTTTGTTTAAAACTGGATACAGGAATAAGAGACTCCAACTTCAACTTGAGCTGCAGATCATTCCAAGACCATGGGCCAAAATAGGACAGACTCATTTTTCCTGACTCTGTACGCACAAAGGGCACTTTAAACCGCAGCCAGCTACTGGCCCTGAGACTGTGTGTGTTCTGGAGGGCAATAAATTTACAGTAGATATATGATGGTAATTTTCCTAAAATGGCTTTGTATATGAAAATATACCAATGCTTCATCCTTCGAATATTGAGTGAAGTAAATCCAGCCAGGGTATATAAAGTACAATGGTGAGTCCTATAGGGTGAACCTGTTATATACCTCAAAGCAGCATGGTAAATGGGGTCCAGTTTAGCTAAGGTAGTGGGACAAGCAAATCTATAGATGGTGTCTCCGTAGTCCAGCTGTGATAAAAGTAGTTGTAATGTACTGCGGGGGTCAGCAAATAGGTTTTGTATAGGATTAGATGGTGGGTGAGAATATGAGACATAATATTAACATGCTTTGACAGAGTTTTGATAGCTCAGTTGGTAAAGTACAGGACTCACACTCTGAGGGTTTAGTGTTTGATTCCACCCTGGGACAACTTTTCTTCCCTCCGCTTTTCAACAAATGGATTCTGCAGCGACTGTTTCTGAGTATGTGCTGCAGTGTTTGTGTTTCGGTGTTTGATACTTTATCATTTCTCCAGGAAGAGAACATTTAGGAGAATCACGTTTTCTGATGGCTTTTTTTAGAGGTGTGTCAAGCAGGCTACAGACTCTTGTAATGTTGTTCAGAATAAAAAAAAAAAGAAGTAAAAGCTCAGTTCAACACCAAACAAGCTTTTCGCGCTTTTATTTTGCAGGCAAAACCACTAAAGTGGATGTAATTATGTGAGTAGCTGTTGCTGCCATGACTGAGATCTATTTCAGCACTGCTATCAAAGTATTTATTTTTTATATTTTTTGCCACTATCAAAGCACCATAATCTGACCCTGGGCCAGATATTATTGCTGTTGGGCAGTTTTGGTGAGGGCCTATAATCACAGAGAGAATTGTTTCCCTTGTCAGTGTTTGTATAAACTTTATCTATTATGTGGTTTATAATGGACTATGGTGCAGAAACAGTGACAATGCTACACACTCTTGGCTTGGCTTACATTTTTCATGTAATTTGTCAGTGGCCAAGTCGTATAGTTTTATTGAATTATATAATTTATTAATATATTTACCTAAAGAAACCTAATTTCTTGACTGGCTACTTTCTGCTGTCTCGGAAGAGACACCTTTTGTGCTGTGAGAGCCACCGTAGCTGTCTTACCCTTTTTGAAAGGGTAGGGGGCAGTAGTAGACTGGAAAGTTGGTGGCAATTCACAACCCTCACCACTAAATGGCAATAAATCTTACACACTGAACATCTGAGTGTAGATGAACCCGAAAAGTTCATCCACAATCCCTCTCTTTCAGTGGCTTGGTGAAGTGAATAGTTTCGGTAAACTGTGGCAAAAGTTTAACCTTTTTCAACTGTTTGCTCTCCAAGAAGAGACAAGAATGACATCAACAAGATCATCTTCAAGAGTGGAGACCTCCAGATGTCCCCCTATGCAGATTTCCCCAAAAATAACCGCATATCCACGGAGTGGGGCAGGGAGACCATAGAGATGCAAGAGAACGGCAGCACCAAGAACCTGCTTCAGATGACTGACATTTACTACTCTGTAAGGAGACGTACAATACAGCTTTCATTTTGTCTCCCGAACCTTCATTCGTCTTCATTTTTTGACTTAAGGCTTTGTTTTGTGTGTTTGGATACAACTCACTATATCAGAAAAGAAGAAACTGTTAATTAAAAACACTTATACATATTCTCTCTTCCTGTGCCGTTTCCCTCAGCCTGCATTGCGCAACTCAGATCTGGAGAGAAATGGATTATACCCATTCCCGGGCCTGCCGGGTTCTCGCCACTCATGCATCTACCCGGCCCAGTGGAACCCCTCCTTCATCAATGATGATTCACGAAGAAGAGACTACTTCTAGCTGCCCCACCCTGAACATACACTCACACACACACATACATACACACACATACACAGAAACGTACCATCTCTTATACAGACAATTGAAAGTGTCATGATGGTTTTGGCGAGCCCATTTGAACATCTGCATTGAGGGCTGTGTGCAAATTATGTAAATGTGAGTATGTGTGTGTGTGTGTATGTGTCTGCAAAGTATGGAACATTTTTACAAGTAACACGTTTCCTGGGAGTGTTCTTGTATGACCATTTCAGTGTTTGTTTTTTTCATACTTTAGCTCATTTACTTCAACTCACATACCGCATTGCTGCTGTGGTTTTAGACTGTTTAATGTGTTTTTCTTGCCTTCCAGGCAGCCACTGATTTTCATTTACCTCACTGTTTGATGGAAAACAATTTACACACACTTGAAAAGTGCTCAAAGTAGTTGATCTATGACAGTAAATATCATGTCTGCCTTTCCTGTTGTCAGGGTTATGTTGTTGCTGCCCGGGTAATGCAGCGCAGATTAGCTTGAGAAATCTGCACTGCATTAATGCACAATGGTAAATGGAAGTAGATACGATGTTCACTCACTGTGCTCACAGAAATGATTGTGAATTTTTGCCCGACAGGAATGCTGGAAAAACACATTTGAATGAAATTTAAATAATGGCAGTAATGTAAAATGTATGTGGTGTGTAGCAAATAGACTAGGACATGCAAAAACATTGATATGGTGCTTTAAGTGCTGACATATGAATATGTGCGTGCCACTGCTGTGATTTGAAAAGAATCAGTTTCTTCTTAGATAATAGTCTGAGAATAATAACAAACCACTGAAGGATGCACACCAAGCTCAATTTTATGCCAGTAGAAACTGAGGAATGACTTTGAATCCTGATGCGAACGTCTCTGTATGTGCAAGTCCTTGACATGTAGCATAATGGACATCTCATACATACACACTGACAGACGTAAGAGGGATAAACCTGTGGCTTTTAAGCGTGTGTGTTTGTGTATGTGTGTGTGTGTATGAGAGAGAGAGTGTGTGTCTTAAGTATTGGTGTTCGTGAGGTGTGTGTATGTGTGTGAGGAATAATTCTCTGTATACCAGAAGAACTGTCGATGTGTGTGTAAACATGTATAGTTTCTGACGTGAAGTATTATTTTTATGTGACTATTTTCTTTCTTTGTCTTTATGTGGTCGGTTGATTCTGGCGTTGTAGTCAGACGTGCTTATTTAAATTAAAAAATGTACACAATGTACACTTTTTTTGTTATTGACACAGTTTGTATTATTTAACTGTTTGAGCTTGAGTTTATAAAGTTAAACATATTGCAGAAATGGTATTGCATCATTTGAATGAAACTATTTCATAACTAGAACAAGGGTGCTTAATGAGTGAGTTTATTCTTGACCCTGGAAACAGTAGTTTGCCAAAAATAAAGTTAGACAGAGTTAGATAACCCATGCTTTGCTCAGTAGTCATGGAGATTACTCTGTTCTCATCAAAAGTATGAAATGGTGATAACATGGTGACACCACCTACTGTAAGTTATCATTTAAGACATTATTAAAACATGGATCATATTAATCTTAAGATTTTATTTTGTAAAACTATATAGTCACTGCAATGAAGTTTGGAGCACAGGGTAAGATGGTTAAAGCCTCCATAGCTGATTTTTCAATAATCAAGTGGAGGTGAATTCTAGGAATTAATATTTTTTCATATTTTTTTTATAGTATTACTACTAACATACCAATGTATGCCATGATATAGCTGGATATCAGTGTGGTATTTTCTGTTGAGTTAAGTACTAGAACAATAGTTGATATAAAAGGGCAATTTGTTCCAAATTTAAGAGATGCATAAATGCACCCACAAAATATATATTAAATTCCCTTTGTGGATAAGTTTTTGTTTTGTTTTGTTTTTAAAGAAGTTTGTTTCCTGTAGGGTGTTGTATAGTCAATAGCCAAGCAACACATGGTTCACCACTACATTTGGGTACTTTCGATGACCAATGCATGTTAGGATAAGCCACAGACCCAAGTTACCTGAAAAGAAAACGAACAGGAACTAGCTCAATTAAATCAAATCTATGAAAAATTGTTATTTTTCCACATTTAGCAAGAACAGATTTAGTAAGCAGCAAAAAAGAACACAAATGGACAATGCATTCGTATTACTTCATGTTTAGCTGTTTCCTGTTCTCATTTTACATGTTGAGTTTTATTGTTGTTAATGGTGAATATAACATCTGAACAGAACATGTAACAAGACATGTGATTACATTACCTGGCAGGTGGTCTTTTTCATGGAATTCATTTTGACATGTCAGTAAAAGCACGGTGTATGTCTAAGCAAAGACGCTGTGAGGATTGGGCAGATGGATACTGTGGGATAAATACTTCAATATATATATATATATATATATATAGAAAGAGAGAGAGAGAGAGAGAGAGAGATAGATAGATAGATAGATTTTAGATTAAAATTATATAGATGCATAACGTGGGTAGCTGTTTTCAGTTAATTAGCTGACATATTTAGCAGGCCATTGTCACATGAATCTTTATTTCAAACTGTCAAAAAACATAGTATCAAAAGAAAACACCAAATCGCATATATACAAGTGAAGCATTGAGAAAATTAAACAAAATGCAGCACGCACAGTCACACACTTCTGCATCAAACTTGAGTGAGTAAAGGCTGAAAGGAAATGTAGTACTGCTACTTTTCACCTGTAGATAAAAATGTTCCTACTTTTGCTTTTAACTTTTGCTTTTACTTTTGTTGCTATTTTTATTTTTGCTACTATTTGTAAAGGACTTGAATACTTCCTCCTCTTCTGCTGATTTGTAAAGATTCAGTTCCAAAACATCAGGATGATACTAAGCTATTCCTGTCAAAGATTTTGCCCTTTAATGTTGACAGAGGTCAAAAGCCCTAAGATGTTACCTTCATGATCTGTCGGAAATATCGCAGTACAGATGAAACCAGCGTTGTAAAATCCACGTTGCTGAATTGTGGCAAAGTATTTGAACAACAAGCTGCAAATTTCATTGTTTTGTATAATTCTTTCACGTTCTGTACACAAGTGCTACAGTTGAGTGCAGTGAGTTTATCATTTACTGCAGGCTACTTTTCATGATTAAAATGTATCTGAACATGACTATATCCCTCCTCTCTCTTATGGTACTGCATAAAAAACCAATGACTTAAAATGTAATAATCTACATATTGTTTAATTATCTTTGACTGTAGATGTGCCAAAGCCCCTTGCACTTAAATTTGGCTCTTAAATCTACCATAATTTCTGCTACATTTTGAGTTTTGAGAGTCAAACATCACATCAAAGGCTCACATAATGAAGAGTCATAAAAATGAAAAGAGACACCAGAACCTTCTATTTCCTGCCTAATGTCAACCATCTAGCTCCTTCGCCGGGGCTGGGTGACCACAGTAGCCTATTAGCAGTTACAGTGTAGTGCACTAGCTATGGAAGCCCAGTGCATTTATCAAAGAAAAATAATTGAAGACCTTATATAGTTATATTTATATTATAAGTTCTATATCTTATTTCATGACCCAGCTCAAAGACCATAGCAAATCAGGGAAGAACCCACAAATTACTTGGATGGGGAGGGTTTTATGCGATCTGGACTCCAATTCCTTCATGGCCTCCAGATCCAACCCATCAGGAACCAGGAAACTGGAAGAGAGCAACACAACAACAACACACACAAACTGTGTGTCTTGGCCATCACACCTGCAATTAGGATGTCTCATAAATATGAGAAAATCATACTTTTCTCACAATTACAAGATGAGTATCTCATCATTATAAGAAAACTATCTAATAATTCCACAATCTGCCCTTCATATTTACAGTAAAACTATCTCATATTCATGAGATCAACATCTTGTACTAAGGATCTGGGAATTACCAGATCAGCAATTATGTCATCTTCATTTAGCAAGATCACTTAATTTAATCACAAGATATAGATCTTGTAATTATGAGATAATCTTGTTATTAGTATGACTGGACAAGATGTCACATTTGTGAGATTATGACTTAATCTAATAATAGGCCTAATTACAATATTTATTATGTATATCATAGTATGGAAAGGAAAACCTCACAATATATTCAACGTCTGCATTTTGTAATTGCGAGATTTGTATCTGGTGATTACAAGACCCCTAATTATGACACCATGTAATTACACCAATTGTTTATAATAATGAGATCTAGATTTTGTAGTTATTAAATTATAATGATATTATAATTTTTAAATTGTGAAATAATTTTCTTTTAATTATGCAAATTCAATTTGAAAATAAGGTCTTGTTATTATGAGATGCTAAGTTAAAAATGACAAGCTACAGAAGTGATAAATTGTGAAATGTATGCAACCAAACCTTACTTTTCTTAATGTAATGTAACGAAGAAAATTTAGTTTAGGGCAATAAATGGTTTATGGTAAGAGGATTTGTTTTTGACGCTGCGTGCTCACAAGTCTGAGCTTCTGACGAAGTCTTGAAGGCATCATGAGTCTGGTCCAGCCCCTCCTCGGTCAGATGTGTTTTGTCTTCTCGGCAGTTGATGAGAGAAGAAGGAGAAGGGAGCTCACTGTTTGAAGGAGGGGAGACTAATCGATATTCTGGGCAAAATAAAGGTCACCGTTGGACAGCCAGATAAGACAATCAGAGGCGATCTTCTGAAAGGATTATCAAAGGAAAAAAACACAGATTTAATGCCATAATCAGCCGTAAATCTTGACGTTAAGTTACTGGAATAAACGATGTTAAGTCAACGGTTCACCTCCTGGTCAGGTGAGTGGTGTTAACGTTTTAACGTAGATCCACTTCAAAAAGACTTTATGGGGTGTTACCGTTAACGTCCGTTAGTGGACACAGCTTAGCTAGCTCTTGATTTTTCACAGTTCACTCGTTTAGTTTACACTAACCTGCCATGAACGACAATCCATCAGTTTATAATAAAAAAATAACCTTGTTTCCTGGTGCCTACCTGGTTAACTTACTTAACATCTGTTGTTGTTTTGGCATCTTATCGTTTCACATCACTCCCATCCATTTCCGTCATAAGTAAAAGGTAAGTCAGCTGTTTAACTTGTCATCAAGACGGGAATCACAGCTACTAACTATTTAACGTTGGTTCGGCTAAATTAATCCGTTAGCGTTATAAAACAGAGGGGAGCAGGGTTAACGTTAACCCAAACAAGCTGTGCCGCAGGAGCAAAATGAGGAATTTATGTTCCCAAATATGCGTGTCAGCACCGAAATATGTGCCCGTAAAGGGTGAACAGAGCGCAGAGAGGACGGTTAACGTTAATTCACTATTAGTAATTTAACGTTTGTTCTTACATCGAGGCTTCAAGATTAACCCGTTAACGATAAAAAAAAAAACATTGTCAAGCCAGTTAATGTTACAGTATAGCCTACATGGCCACAGCTGCTGCGCTTGTGTTGTCTATTTTCCCCATCTGTTTTAAATCACTTTAGTTTGTCTCTGGTGGTTGGCACTAGTTCTTTTTCCACCAAAATTTATTTTTAATGTCTCAGTATTCAGTACTACTAGACTAACACTTTTATTTTTAGGACCTTATTTTGTATCAGTAGAGGAAGTGACCAACATGTGTCTTTCTGACTGTCAGGTGATTTAAGGTGCAGTCTGTGAAGTCTGCTGCCTTGGCTACCTAGAGCGTCAGCGGTTCAGAAAGGGGCATGGCCCCGGCCCTGACCAAAATTCTGAAAGATGGCCATGGTATCCACCTGTCCTCTCCTCCTGCTTCTGTCAGAATGGACTCCGACGGGAGAGCCATGCGTGCTACTGAGCTGGAGTCTCAGATGAGATTGACAGATGATGGTGACCTCCAGAAGATGTGGCTGAACCTGTCTTTGTTTCCCTCTCTGGACTCATGTCTACCCGGGAGCCCCCTGGACTTCCCTGCCAACCCTGTGCTTTCCTCCTGTCAGCAGGCGTCTGCCAGTCAATGCGAGACGGTGTTCTTCCCCAGCCCAGCTTCCCTCCTCAGCCTCCTTTCCTTCAATAAAGGCCTGAGAGATTCTCATCAGGTGGCCTGTGTCTTCCCAGGTGTACCAGACATGTTTTTAGTCCCTGTCCCTGAGCACAATAGCCAAGAGGCTTGCCTGCTGCATATGCACAGGGCTGCTCCTGAATGTAGGCCAGATGGTGGTGATGCGCATCACTCCTCTCTTACCGTTACCAGTGTTCCTCCTTCATATTCCCATGGGGAGATAAAGTACCAGGGCTACACGCCCTTCTTTGCACTCCCACCTACATTGACACAAGAGACAATGGCTGGAATGGGCTGCCCTCCTCTATCTTCAGTACAGCCTTGTAGTGGCAGGGTGAACTCTGACCAGCTGGCACCCACAGCTGTGCTGGAGGAGGCCGTGAAGGAGCAGCTCTCCAGGCAGGCAGGGCTGCAAAGCCGAGCTCAGAGGCTGCAGAGGAGACTGCAAGCCCTGCTAGGGGAGCATGCCGTGCTTCACTGCAGCCAGCAGCTGGAGGGCCTGAACAGGCACTGTCAACTTGCCAAACCGGACTCCACACATCCTGGTATACTGCCTCCCCATGTGGGCTGCAAAGCCCAGTTGTCTTGGCTTGAGTCGTCCACAGCCTCGTCGTCCTTCACAGAGCTCAGCGAGTTCAGCCGCTCCAGCCAGGCATTGCTGAGAGGCCTGCAGGAGTCTTTGGACTCCGAGGCCACGGCCAGCAGCAGCTCAGACGAGGAGCAAGGGGAGGAGAAGAGTCTCGGCAAAACCAAGTGTTCTCCTGGGTGAGTATTCAGTGAGTGGAAGTACTTTAAATTCAGCTTCATGTGTTCTGTGAAATATGCAGACTAAGCAACAAGACTCAAATTCTGAAGCCCTGAAGCTGGATCTACAGAAAGCAATGGTTAACACAAAGGTTCTGGATGGGTCCAACAGACCGATTGACATTGCCATATGCTTCCTAGGGTAACTGAACAATAGAAACAATATACCATAACACACTGGTATTCTTATTATATAGTTTTAACATGATGTGAAGCTTTTGTGAAGCATTAACTGATTTATTACTGGCTGGGACCAACTTTTGTACTTTTTACCGTTACTTTTTTTTAGTGGGACGCATTGCTTGTTCAAAAACCCATTTTCCACACATAGAACATGGAAGGGGTGGTTTCTGTTTTTTTTTTTCTCTGCAAGCAAATTATCCTTGTTTCCTTGTTTCTGCTTGTAGTGGTGGGCCGCCTTGAAACTCAGGTCTGTTTCTTATTTTGAACTTTGTGTATTTTAGAGCCACAGCGTGTAGGATGTGCCTGTCACGGATGGTTATTACAGCTAAATAAACAAGGTACAAAATGGAAAAGCTTTAAAAACCCCTGAACCAGGCATTTTCCCTATCAAGTTAGCATTTCACACATTGACAGATATGAAGTTACCAGCAAGTGGTGAAGAAAACAATGGGGAACCGTTTTGCAAACATTGCTGTGGTTTCCCTCTGCCAAGAGATTTGTTGTGCTTCTCTGGGATTTAGCTGCCAGAACCCAGCTGTGGTTCTCGCTGGAGCCATTGGCCTCGTTTTAAGTCCTACAAGTGGTGAGTTCACAGAGGTAGACTTTCGCCCTAGGCAACCTTTTTGTTCACAGGGCGAACACAGAGAAAGGGAACTAGTTTTAAAGAGGTTCAAATATGGTGTAAATTCGGGAGAATGTTTAACTTGGCTCTCGCCGAAGTTTACAGTGAGGTTGTCATAAGTGTTTCTCCGCCCAGCTGTGGAGAGTGTGATGACATATTTTAGCCGTGCAAGCACACATACACTTTCTCTTTCCATGCTGCAGTCATAACACGTTGAACGGACTAGCCAGCTTTTTTCATACCCACAGGCTAGGACATCAATACAGACATGCCAGTAGGCCTGTAAGCGATTTTGTGCCATTGTGCTCCTCCTCCTTCTAGTGAAAAATACTTTGGAAGTGTGTGTGTGTGTGTGTGTGTGGTTTGGATGGGCTGTGCTCCTGTACTTGTGTCCTTGTGCTATAAGGGAGTTGCATAGCCCCAGACGAGGAAGAAAACATACAAGTCTCGTGTGATTATGTGCAGTGTTTATTTTTGTGGCACTAAAACAAACAAAACAAAACATTATCATTGCACATTCCACACAAAAATGATTAGAATCTGAATTTCACATATATTTTGCCAGTTTAGATAATATCTTGTTCTGGTTTTATGTTGTTTCAGATCTCCACAAATAAACATGGGAAACACTGCCGTATTAAATAGAGGGAAGGGGAGCAATTAGGCTAAAATTAGACTGTGAAACCCTGACAACCAGCTCCTGCAACAAATTTTTTTTTTTTGTTTTAACATTATTTTTTTGGCTGACAGTAGTGAGTGACAGGAAAACTGGAGGGAGGGAGCCCAAGAAAAAGAGAGAAACAGGGCTATCAGAGCTGGAATTTTTCTGCGGACCTTTATATCAGTCTCAGGCCACTTGCCCACCAGGACGTCCTAGAGAAGAGCATTATTCCTTGCTTAGTATGAGAATTTCAGTGGTCGTACACAATGTAAAAAAATATATATAGAGAAGATAAGGGCCATTTAAGCCCTCACTCAGGTGGATATACTGCATACTTGCTTCAGACATCCCTGATAATAGGATACCCGCCCATGCCTGTTATTTCATGTAAAAAAATTAAACTGATGAGCATTACAAAAACACAACCGAAACTAGATACTTTGCACATCGCCTTCATTTGGAAATGCCCTGAGCCAGAACTATTATTCTGCTATTCTTCTAACTGTGTAGATGGTCAGTTTATGTTTTTAGCTCATTTCCTAGTCAGCAATGTGGGGATGCCAGAGGGGCGTCAGTGTTAGGACAGGAGGGTTAATGTCACGGTCTTGGCTTTAGTCTAATTAGACCTTTCTTTTGTTTCCTTTGGTTCCTGAATAAGTGCAATAAACAGGAGCCATTTACAAAACTTTGTTGTGTTTTAGCACTGAGAACAAGAATGCCCAAGGGTGTTTTATGTGTATAGTGTGTATGTCTTTTTATTTGGCCAACTTGAGTCATCTTGGAAGTGTCAGCTTGCCTTTTGTCTGTTGAACAATGTGCTGTTCTTCATCAGTAAACCTGCCCCTGGGGAGTTTTTATGGCAGTTTCCTCCTTGAAGAGGATACCTCCTTGCTGGAGAAGGGACAGGTTGTTGCCCTTCTTGAGAAAATTTTAAAGTAGCTGGCGTTTAAGTATGAGCTTGTAAAGCAGTGACATTGTTTGACTTTAGTAGAAAGCATGTGGCCACACTGCTCATTTACTGCTCTTCCAGGAGTCCTTCACACCTCCAGCTGTTGCTCACTTTCAGTCTTCATTGTGTTTGTAATTTAAATATACTATGTGGCAGTATTTGTGAAAGGCTACATGTTGGAAAGTTTCAGTGCAGGACACACCCAAAAGCCCCAGTACCTCTGCAAGAGCCAAGAAACACTATTCAAATAGGAGAATTCGTATACGCAGAACTACTTGCTAAGGCTGACCTTTTATCCAGCCAGGATTTGGCGCTGGAACCTCATACTTTCTCACTGGGGACGGGAGCCAGTGCGTTGCTAGACCCCTCATTTCACTCAGCAATGTTAATATCTTAATGGAAATAAAAATGCAGTTTGCAAACTTGCAGGTATAAAGCAGCCTTTCCTCTCCTGCGCTTTCCTCCTGACTCGCCTACTGCTTGGGAAATATTCCAGGAATTTTCTTATTATACAGTTGGAAATAGCTGTAGGGCAGCCAGGTCTGGTCATTGTCTCTGAAGGAAAGAGAGAGCGTACTCCTTAACAAAACAGATATTAGCTTAGGGTTGAGTTCCTAATGACCACACACTGGGTGTAATTATGCTCGGGCAAGCAGACAACATATTGACTGTTTGACGTAACAAGTTTTTAGAATAACTGCCTCGTAATACCACAGGGCATTGTCAAGTACTCTCTGTTTAGCTGCCTTCTGACTGGCCTAACCTTTCTCTGTCCTGTATCTGAGTGTGTAAAGTGGGGGAGTCCCTCCCTGTCCTAGCCAAGGTCCAAGAGCACTGCCATGGCAACTATTGCCTGGCTATAGCCAGCCAACCACACTCACACAGACACACACAGAAGATACATGCTAACTGAACAGGCTAGTGCCATGGAGACATACTATAGATACACGCCACACTAACCAACAGCTTTTTATTCCGTGGCCTAGATTAACTTTTGTGCTTACCCACTACCCTTTACCCATTCTGTTAGGATACTAAACAATTTACACCGTACATGGCAACATGGCTGTGTAAAATAGGCCAAAAGAAGAGAGCACTGCAGTGCAACTGTGTGAATTGTCTCTCTTTGTGTCTCTCCTCCCTTTTTTTGTTACTCGTTTCATTTTCCTGCCGGTGTTTCCCATATGCTAACCTCACCATGCACCTCCAGTGGCCAAACTGGATTTTATGACTGCTTTCAATATCTTGTAATGTTGCCACATTCAGGACCAAATTCAAAAGCATTTTAGTATGATCTTCTTGTGAGGTCCTATCAATATCTTAAAACTACTAACATGGTTTCTAACTGTCCCTCCTGCCAGCAGTAGCAGCTGTGAGAGGCGTTTGCTGGAAGAGAGAGCAGAACTGGGAAGCAGATGGAGCTGGTTGCAGCTGCGTCTGGCCGAGCTCGAGAACAGGATACAACAACTGGTGGAGCTCCACAAGCACATCCGCTCTACCAAAGTAAGACGAAAGTCCTCTGAAACCACTTAATTAAAGAGCAGTTGACATAATGTACCAACTGGCAGCCATCAAGGACATTTTTTATGGGCTTTCAGTCAGGCGTTGATACAAGTCAGTTTTGTGAGATAGACAATATATAGGGTCAGCTAAATTTTGCTATATTATTGATGAAATGAATACCACTTTAGCTAAAGTATCTATGTTGTTTGACTTTTCATAGACTCGTCCTGCTATCTACCAGCACCTGATTGTTGTTGCTGTGCTCGGGGAATTTCTTGTTTCATCTTATTGAAAGGTTAACAACTGTAGTAGTCCTGTTTTAAAGCTGCATTAAGCAATGCAACCAACTTTCATGGACTGTAAATACTGTGAAAAGTTACATGAACATGTGTACTGTAACATAAGAATAGATTATTATGCAGTTGAAAACTTGAAAATATGCTGTCTGTACAAAATCCTTGTAAAAAAATAAATCCTTGAAATGTCCACATTTATTACAAGGATCCAAAAATCTAAAATAGTCTAAAATATATTTAAATGTTAGGCAGACCACTCTCCAAAAGGGGGGTGGGTGGTAAAAGGTTAACTCATGTTGTCCGTGTGTGTCTGCGTATTTATGTGTGTGTCTAAGGGGGGTGTGGTGCTTGCAGAGTCCCAGCCACTGACAGACAGGCGGATTCAGCACACCCTGCTGAGAGAAGTGGCAGGGTTATCCTGCACAGCCTCGGATGCTGACACTGAACCCTGCAGCCCCACGCGCCTTCTGCACAACATAGAGAGACAGGTAGATGGGACGAACTAGCACGCACACCTATAATACCGGGTGTGTGAAGAGCCTGGAATGATGGGGAACAGTCTCAGTGCTAGGTTGAGAAGATAATTAATAAATAATTAATTAAGGCGTGAATGCTGTTTGACCTGTGTGTTTTATTATGCTAAATTAGAGACTGCAGGTTGAATGCATGAATTCCCTGCTGCTTTATGAAGCTTACAGGTATTTAATCAACTCAAAGAGAAAGACCTTATTCCTCCTTCCAGCTGTTGAGGGTAAGATTATGCTGCTAAATTGTCTTTTAATCTAATGCAGTACAGACTGTCTTAATGGCTTTAAACATTGTACTTAGATGTGCATTTGAATATGTATAAAATGTTGTAGTTTAAAAAAGTAGTAATTTCAGTGAGTATGTGAACACCTCCCCCAACTGAAACCTTTTTTTTCTTTTTGCATATTCACTAAGAAATTAGTCTGAGCAGGCAGATACTCGTGCAATTTTATGCCAAAATGCGCTTCACCAGCTGATGTGGTGAGGGGCAACCTCAGCTGTGTATCTTTATTCACCTTGCCAAAAGTTAATGTTTGGAGCCACAAATAAAAGTTTCAATAATTGTTCTTTAGATGCTTTTAAAAGTGTGTATTTTTGTGTGCACACCGTATATTTAGCTTTCCACTCCGTTATGGTTTGTAGTCGGACAGTGGATGTAGACATGTGCTGTTTAAAGAGGTCATATTGTGCTCATTTCCAAGTTCAAAATCTTATTTAGGGGTTATACCAGAACAGGTCTTCATTTTCAAAACACACCGTATTTTTGTCATACTGCACATTGCTGCAGCTCCTCTTTTCACCCTGTGTGTTGAATGCTTCGTTTTAGCTATGGAGTGAAGCAACTTACCTCTTCAAGATCTTTGTTGGGAGTTGCATATGCACAGTTCCTAGTTAAGGACTACTAGCCAATCAGAAGCAGAGTAGGGTGGGTCGTGAGAAGCCGGTAAACACGGCTTCGGATCAGCTGTATATTCCCTTACCAGCTTAGCAACTGGAGCAAGAGAGTGGTGAGTTATTAATTTGAAACAAATGTATCTTTCATCCATAAAGTTATAACTGAGCTCTACATCACAGTAACAACTTCCTGTCCATTGACTCCCTGGAGAGTAGCTAGTGTTTAGAAGGGAGAGGAGAGGCAGCAGGTGGACGAGTGTATTTTTCCACCATTTTTTGTAAGGTGCATTGTGACGTCACAGGGATCAAAGGGAAAAGGTTGGACTACAAACGAGCTGTTTTCAGAGCAGAGTTTTCTGTGGGAGATGGGAAGATTGGGCTGGACTTTGGGCTTTTTCACTTTGCAAACCTATTACATGCACAAAAAAGATATATAACTCAATAAAGGAGAGGGGAAAAAACCATAAACCATAATATGACCTCTTTAAAATGAGCACTTTGGGTGCGTTGGGCGGAAGTGGGTGCGTTTCAGCCACATCAAACTTTGAAGTTAAATGAATCTTAAATCATTAATAAGCATCAATAGTCTATCTTTATAAAAGTAAAAAAGTCACAGGTTTGGAAAGAACCAGAATAATCCTTTAGTGCTGCACCAAATTTGCACCTTGGTAGTGCGGACAGCAGAGAGGTACTTGAATAAAATTATCATCAATTATTTGGGAATCCAACGTCACACAGCATCCTCATCTTTATCAGTCTGATCTGTCCATACATAAAGCAAATTATATCACGGAGTACGCTTGTGGGAGTTGGATGTAGAGTGCTTATTCGCTCACTACTATTAGAGAGATGGATTGTATTTCACACTAAAGTTTAATTTGTCTCTTGGGAAAAGCATTAATTAAATGGACGATGTCTTCATTGCAGAGTGCTCAGCTCAGCCAGATTGTCAACAGTCTGATGCCTCCTCTCGGCTTTTCACCACAGTCTAAACAAACACACACCTGGAAAGGCACGAGAGCCTTCACAAGGTAGAGAACACACACACATGCAGACACACACACACAGCCATATTATTCTACAACTATCTGAGAATGGCACTGCAAGATTGTCACACCTACAATCAGATTTTCTGCATGTTTCATGAGTTGCAGTGAATTGAAACACTAAGTCATTGTGTAATGTTGAGCTCAGTAGTTTTCCCAGGCCTATTTGGGGGCTAGTCACTTTGAAAGCATTTTTGTGTTTGTAATATAACCCAGTGAAACAGCCTGGTCGGTCCCCACCATCTGGCCTGCCTTGAATCATCCCTTCATATCTTTCCTTCCTGCTGCCTTTTTAACTCTCTCTGTCTGGCCGTGAAGATAAAAGCCACATGAAAAGGCATTCTGTTTGTTTATGCATGTAACAAGTATGTTGTAGGTATTTGTTGTTTCTGGTTGTTATTTGTCCACAAGATTTAAGACCAACAATACCTTTTTTTTTTTTTTAGCACTTGTCCTCTTAGCATGAATCGTATCCCTGACATTTATATGACCTCATCTGATCTCGTCCCCACAGTGGTCAGATAGGAGACGATGTTTCTGCGCCTGGTAGCTCCAAGAGAAGGAGGCCGGGGACCAAGAGGCTCTTCAAAGCTGATGTGTCGTGTGTGTGTGCCCGGGCCCGACCCTTGGTCACCTACCATAAGCCCAGGCTGTTCACTTTCAGTACCTACAACTGCAGCAGGCCACAGGTAGGCCACACGCAGTCTCCTGCATTTCCCTGTTCTGTCCATTTGCAACATTTACACATACACAGCTCTCAAAGCCTGCATGGGCATTCTCTCTGACATTCAACTTTAAATGTGATAATAAACAGAATACACATCCCGTTCAACAGTGGAAGTCTGTCCCTGAAGATGCTCTGTCTCTATTTCTGGGATTATTTGCTGTTTCATTTACGAATCCAGTTAGTATTATTACCTTACTTTATTATTTACTCCTACATTCTCACTATATTCTTATTCTTATCAATTTCCCCACAGGGATATAAATGTGTCTATTCATTAGTGTTGCCCAAGTCCGTGTGCATTGTAAGCAGATGGAGATAATGGAGGGATGCTAAAACACAGTAAGGCACAAATCTTAATCATGATTATATAACTCCATTACTCATTGACTTAGGAAACATCAAGCATTTATAGAACTTTTAAAAAATGAATGCTTCATTTTTTTTAAAAATTGCATTGCCACAAAAATCCCAAATAGCCAATGAAACAACTAAGGCATAGTAATCCAGCATTATTAACTTTAAACAGCATCTTAGAGCACAAGAGGATGACAACAAGTATAAATAAGTATAAATAATATGTAGTTTATGCAGTGTAAAACGCTGTAGGCATAAGATAATAATGGTGAATAGCAAGTTATAGCAGTTAAAACCCCCTGTCATCTTGGCTCGAGCTGAGCTAAACGAGCCACGGCCTGAGAGTGAGTTTGGATTTATAACACAAGGCAAGACGAGAGCATCATTGCAAAACAGAATGCGGTACAATAATGATTTTATCTCAGTTATCTTGTTTTCATAAAATACATCAGTCCCATTTGCATTTTTCCTCCTCTCTGTTTTGAGGATGACAGTAATAAAGATGACATTGGCACTATGGCACCCAAATTTACTTCATAACAGTGCACCACTTATAAATCCCAATTGGACACCCATTTTGGGTTTTATAATAAATGTGGAAAGTCTGATGTAAGTGTGTCAATGTGCAGCAGTTGTAAATGTATTAATTTGTTTAATTAAAATAAAAGTATTCATGTATTCATGTCAAAGCAGTTGCTCATAGTCAGGCTTCAGTGGTGGAATTCAGTATTACTAAAATAGTTCCTCACATTAAACCGGAATTAATGTTAAAAGCCGGACACCTGCTTTTAATTAAACCATAATATCTCTTGGACTTGCTTCAAATAAACAAGTGCATGTGATTATTTTAAAGCTTTGCCTTTTATTTAGCCCGGGGACGTTGCATAGTGCTATGTTCTCACTGCCAGTAAAACCAGGGGCTAGTGATAGTGGTGTGTGTCAAGTGGATGGCCATGCCCGGCTTAGCTTCATAAAGTCCCACTAAGAATTCATACACTCATCATTGTGCAATTATATACAATACTTCAATTTCTGATTTGCATTTTGTTTGTGATATCTTTATTTAAAGCTGCTACAGTAATCAAATGACTAGGTGTAAAAGCATTTGCTCTTATTGATGAATCCACGTTGAATTCTCAACCAACCATCTTTTTACCATCTTTCAGCTCATTATTTTGAGCTAGCAGTCCACTGCGGAATCAGTGCTACACAATCAAAGATAAATCAATGGTATATGATATGAACATAAGGGGTGAGCCCAGTTTCATAATCTCTAAACTAGATAGTCTTTAGCTCATCTACAAACATAGAAACCAGATCCAACATTGTGAAATGTCGACATACCACTGGATGCCCAATCAGAATATTTCAAAAGATTTAACGTTTTGTTGAATACTGCCATCCTAGCATCGATCCCAGGTTGCAAAGCAACACCAAGCAACCACCATTGTGAAATTGCCAGATGACAAAGAAAGCAACTTACTTTAATCGGTGTGCTCCCAGCAGAGTGCCTTAAACCCTCATGACTCACACAAAACACAGAGAGAAAGTTACTACTGTAGTTAAAGAAACTCCATTGACCTTTAGTATAATGTGAGAAATAACTTTCTCTGTCTCTTGTTCTCTTTTTCTTGTGCTTCAGGACTTGGGGAAGTCCACGTCTGCCCTCTCCTTTTCTCTCTCATCATCTTCCTGTTCATGTTGCACGTCTTGTGATCCTGTAGTCCTGTGCTCTGATCCTGACTGCAGCTCCAGTAGGGCCCTGTCCTCCAGGACCCCCAGCGCCACACCTCACTCTGTGCTGTCTCTTTCATTTGGTAGGAGAAACATTGCCATAAATACATAACATGGGCCTCACAACAATATAAAACGTGTTGGTAGACGAGTAAACTTGAGTGTCCTTTTCATATTGATTAATTTGCTGTTGTAGTTCAAAACACTCGTTTATTGTCTATATATTTGACACGGTAGGCCTTCTCTGAGGTGCCAGTTGCACACTGGACTTGCCACACAAAAGTAGTGGTAGCTGACATGTGTTACTCCAGGGGGCAAATTTGATACAATCACTGTTTTTCAGGGTTTAATGCATATTGACAATTGCACGTCATACACTGCTGGCGTTTGTTGCCCTTGATTGCATGCTTGCATTTAGAGATGTGCCGAGTAATTGATCATAAAAATGCTAGATTGCTGTATTGTCTTCTTACAGACGCTCCTCTGTCCCACCACTCAAAGAGGGCCCTGGCCAGAGAAGAATGGTCCCAAAGGCCTTTGGTTATCAACGTCCCACAATCCAGTCCAGCACACTACAAGAGACGGAGCTCCACACCACTGCACAGCAGTAAGATCCTGCCCTTTAACTGGATTGATTACATATTTAGTTCTGTTCTATGGTGCTTTACTCTCTTACGTTCTGCTCAGTCTTTAGCTCTACATGTATTTCACTTTGTTACGCTCACTTTCAAAACTCATTCATGACTGTAACCGGCTGTATTGACGTCATAGCCAGCTGATGAGTAATATGACAGGAAGGCAGAGGTGACATTTAAAAGACTGCACCTGCATTCCTGTTATTCATCTAACATATATGGAGCCTCACTGGCTTTTGATCCACTTCTCTTTGCTGTGGCGGAGCTGCAATGAAGTCTGTTTTTGAAGTTAATGGTAATTTAATGTTAATGCAAAGTCAACACTGAAGCTTCATAGTAGAAACCTTTCAGTGGTGCCTTTTATTAGAATTACTGTAGCTACATTACTGGTGGCGCTTTGGTTGCAATTTGACGAGACATGAGGAAAATCATTTGTGCCTCATTTATTGGTGTTTGTCTTTGCATTCAAAATTATTGTTAACATATAATTTGTAAACAAAACAAACAAATAACAATATTAGTTTTATTAGCAAAAAATGTACATTCTAAAGGGGCCATGTGTAGTTTTCAGTGGCCTCGGGTGGTGATGTTTTAGCTTGCAGCCACTACGTTTCCAAGCATGTGCCCCTTCGTGTGCTCGAACTCATGAGCTTGCACAATCCATGCTTGTTGCATGCTAAAGCTACATTGACTGCATGGCAGTGTTGTGTATCTTTCACCAGAGAGGCTCAGCAGTATCAGCATATCTAAAATGTATTGGATGATAATGAAAAAACAGTTAGTGAGCTAGACTGAGTATTATAAATGAGATTGTTGCCACACTTAAGTATAACAGTTAGACCGTACTGACTAATGTTACTGTAACTTAATGAATGGGTCTCCCACTGTGTTGTTGTCCTGCACCGTTATGTTGCATTATTGTATATTATGTGGGTCACGTAAGTTACAGCGACTCAGACCGATGAAGAAGCTGTGTACTTGATTATCGGTAAAACGACAATAAATCTAAATTGAATGTTACGAAGCAAAAAACTGCAGATCCGTGCTAACGTAGCTGGCTGCGCCTGCCTTGCATCACTATAGACTAGCATAAAGAAATAATTCCATACTTGCTTTGTACCATTACATCATTTCTTGCACGCTAAAATCAACACTTTGACATAATAACGGTACACAGGGTAGTAAAATGGATCGCATTTACAATGGATGCCGCTAGCAACTGGTCGACGATAGCCGGCATGCTAACATTATCTATCTTGAGCCAGCTAAAAATCACAATATATTTCACATGCTTTGAAGTAATGTTAGCTTACCTGTCCAAAGCCAACTCTGTGTCAATTTTTATATCCAAAACAAAGCAGAGGTCTCTCCACGACTCAAAATGCCTTAGATGTTGACCCGTGTTTTAGCCCGACGTCAATCTCATTCTAGAGTTCAGAATCAAAAGGCAAGAGGCTTGAGAGCGAGCATGAACATCATAGCCTACGTAAACCAACGGAATTGCAGAAAATCCGATCTGATGTCTTCATATAGGAAGCACCATACCATAAAGGGTACTAAGAAAGCCGGCAAATGGTTCATTTTTATGAGAGGTTACAACCCTTTCATAAATAAGCAGTAAAAAAGTGATTAATTTCATTAAAAAACTACATATAGCCCCTTTAACTGAAATAATGACTTTTTTAGTTTATATATTTAATAATTTGTGAATAATTATTATAAACTGACAAATCATCTTGTTTAGACAATTATTTGGTTGTATTTACTGAATAGAAACAATATCACTGTGATTAAAATGGCTACTTCAAAGTCGACCGCTGTGTCTGCTTGTTATCTCTATGTGTACCATCATAAGTGGCTCCTAGCATGTCAGATACCCCACTGAGTCTGTATGAGGCTCCCGACTGAGCAGTAGATAGAAATGGAATCATTTGGTATTTCATCAATGTCGATATGTGTCTTTGTGTATTAGTGTGCAGCTAATGAATGATCATTTACCTCTGCACTTACATGCCTCTGTCAGCTGTCTTTTTAGTCCTTTAAATGGTCTTTGCTCACATGGACTGATGATCCGAAGCAACCAATGGTTTTAGAAGATTCCCTGTTTATGCAGGGAAGGTTGACTAAACACTGTGTCTGTGTTACATACAAAGGTGAGGTGAAAACAAGAGACAAGAAGTGATGTAGTAGAACTCACCTACCACTTCAACTCACCTACCACTTCAAACTGTCAATTGCCTGTCAGCTTGAATGATGTCATTCCCCTTTGTCAATAGCAGAAGTCTGTCAAGTAAATGTAAATAATAGCCTGGCACATGGCAACAAACCTCTTATCATAGCTAAAATAGAATGAGATTGTGTAAACAGTCAAAGCAAGCGGGGATGGAAATATGGGCAAGTGATTTGGAGAATAATGACTAATGACGTGACTTGATTAATTGTTAACTACGGTAGCTGTTCCTGCAGTGTAAGAATAGAGAGTAAAGGCACTATAACACAAATTATGTATTGTATTACTGATATAAAAGGTGGATCCCAGACATCAGTCCTCCCAAAGAAACTTATTAAAGTTTTGTTTGAAACTGGCTGCTGTGTCCATTCAACAATACTAGCATTTGTGTGCACCTGTAACTTTTGTAGCCCTTGCAGGCAGTGTTTTGTTGAGCAAATGCTGCAAGGTGTAAAGAAAGAAAATATCTATTCAAGAGCTTAAAAAACACAACAGTGTCTTTAGTACAGTTGATTTCAGCATTTCTTAACCTAGTTAAGCAAAAAAGAAAAGATTCAACATTGTTACATTCGGCTGGCAATTTATCTCCACTATGATTACTTCAAAATAAAACTGTTGGTGTGATGTGAGCAAGGAACAGAAAACTGAGAGGCAGTCACCTGCCAAAATAATACAACTAATGGTTAAGGATTAGCTTTTGTACACTTTAACCAAAGCGTAAAATCCCACTGACGGGTAGGTTGAAATGAACGGAAATTCCTGTGGTATGTTAAATCAGTTTATGTGTGTGTGTGTGTGTGTGTGTGTGTGTGTGTGTTACTCTAGGTCACAAATACAAGCAGCATGCAAGGCATCATAAAAGCAGAGTTATGGGTCTTTCGCCAGTCGGGATGGCAGGCTCTGCTCAGAGTCAACACAGGAGAGCTAGTCGGAGGAAAAGGAAGAGAAGACACATCCACAGGCTGATAGAAGGTGTGTGTTTGCAAGTGTATATTCACCCAGGTTTACAGTAAATTAGTATGTGGTTAAATGGCCATAGTGAACGCTCTTGGTAAACACAGACATCTTAAAATTCTATTTGATGTATCAAAAATAAATCTGAATAGATATCTGATTAGTTTACCACCATATTATATTAATATTAAAGGTCTAAAGGCTTCTTTATGATTTAGGGTCTGTTACAGCTAAACAGCTACAGCTAGTTTGGTGTGTGTGTGATACTTAGATGAGGAAGATGTCGTGTACCAGCTCTGTGACCCAGAGGACAGTTCTGATGAAGTGCTGGAGGAGAGCTGCACACAGGTTTCACACAAGCAGGCCTCACAGGTAACCCACACACACATTTTTGAATGTGTACACTTGTGAGAACCCTCATTGATATACAGTAATGCCAAAACCCCCTAACCTAAATCTTAAAGCAGCATTAGTCTTTTGATGAGGTAAGGACTGAAATGGCCTCAGTTTCAAAACACTTCCTCTGTCTCAAGGTCTCTCAAGGTCTAAAACTTGTACACTTCCAGATGCCACAAAAAAACAAAACCCAAATATGCTAATCGAAGCGCAGGTCTAGAATACATATTTTTAGCATCTTATTTTTGCGCAAAGCATGACTGTGGACTTTGTGTGTTTGTTATGTTATGTGAATGAAATATGTAGGCTGAAGGAGAACAGGGACAAGTACTCAATGCTCATCATCAGAGCTGCAGAATTGTGCAGATTGTGAGTTTGTTAGTGAAATAAGTGAAATAATACTTAAAACACACCACATAAATTATAAAACATCACTTGATGTGCATATGAGTGAAATGTGAAAAAGGCCGGTCAGTCTACATTACATTTATTCATTTAGCTGACGCTTTTATCCAAAGCGACTTACAATTGCTATACATGTCAGAGGTCGCACGCTTCTGGAGCAACTAGGGGTCAAGTGTCTTGCTCAGGGACACAATGGTGGATGGGTAACAGTGGGGGATCGAACCAGGATCTCTCACACCAAAGGCATAGTATTATCCATTTCGCCATCACCACCCACAGTCTCTACTGAAAGCCTGACTCTGAATGTAAGAACACTTCAGATTCATTGGTGTCAATTGTCATGTTGCTCTTGCCATTGTTTTCTTTTTAGGGCTTGGTTCGCAAACGGCAGGGAGAGAGCGTGTACAACATCAACAACATTGTCATCCCCATGTCACTGGCTAAAGTGGAAAAGCTCCAGTACAAAGACATCCTGACACCCAGGTATGGAACAAAACTCACTCTAAAGGAATTGGCATAGAATTCTTCCTGGTTTTGTATTTTGGTTTCTTGAAAATGAATGGTGTCAGACTAACAGCACATGAAATAAGCTGTGAGTTTTCATTGTTTCCCCCCAAAATAATCACAACTTCTTGATCATGCCTCTCCTTAAACATGTTTAAAGAGGTTATATTATGCTTTTTCCTTCTCCTTTATTAAGTTATATATCTTTTTTGTCCATGTAATAGGTTTGCAAAGTGAAAAAGCCCAAAGTCCACCCCAAAGGGAGTTCCCATCTCCCACAGAAAACTCTGCTCTGAACTACCTGAAAACAGCTCATTTGTAGTCCAGCCTTTTTTTCCTCTTTCTTTTGACGTCACATGGTAACATGTGTCATAATGCTCATCAAGCGGCTAGTCAGACACACCCTCAAAAATGCCAGTGGAAAAACACACTGAGCTGTAGTACACAGTGACAAGACATCCGCCTGCTGCCTCTCCTCTCCCTTCCAAACATTAGTTACCCTCCAGGCAGTCAGTGCACATAAAGTTGTAGAGACAGAGCTCAGTTATAACTTTATGAATGAAAGATAAATTTATATAAATTAATAACTCACCACTCTGAAACTCTTGCTCCTGTCTATGTTGCTAAGCTGGTACTGAACCGAAGCCATGTTTACCGCCTTTTCAGGGCCCGCCCAACTCTGCTTCTGATTGGCTAGTAGTTCTTAATTAACTAGGTACTGCGCATGTGCAACTCCCAACAAAAATCTTGTAGTCTTGTAACGAAGTGTGTTCAACACAGAGGGTGAAAAGATGAGCTGCAGCAAAAACAGTATGTAGTAGAAAATGAAACCACGTAAACCTATTCTGGTACAATCCCCAAACAAAATGATGAACCTGAAAATTAGAATAATATGACCACTTTAAGCTGTTTGGGGTTTGATCTTGTTGATCCATCTGCAGCACCTTTGATTTAGAAGGTACTCAGTATAATATGATGCATAATAAAGTACATTTTATGTAAAAATTGTGCTTTATTTATTTTGTCTAATATTTTAAGGGAGTTTAATGCCAATCTATCACATCATTAAATGGCTGTGATTAAACACACTGCTTTTACTCAAAATTTGAAATAGACGGAAGCTGTGCACACTGTCCACTATCATCGTCTATAGCCTCAAAAAGTCTCTCTTTATTTGCAGTTGGCGGGTGATTGACGCCTCATTTCTGATGAACAGAGAGGTAGAGAAGGAGGAGGACAATGAGGAGGGGCAGGTAGTGTCTCATCCCTTTGGATATAAGCTATTTATTTTGATTTGTGAAGAAAACACCATCCTTATTAGTGTGTGTGTGTGTGTGTGTTTCAGGTGGAGGATCTCATTGACGAAGTCTTTGCCCAGAGACACCTGCCCTTAGAGCAGAGAGAGAAATTGCGCTGGCCATCCTGGGGAAAGAGAAAATGCTGCAGACACCCTAAAAGGTGGAAGAACACACACAGGCTCACAAATGCAGTGTTGAAAACTGTTGCATTTGAATACGATGTGACAAGGTGAACTGCGTGCGTCTGGTGGGTTCGGGAGGATAGAATAGCTTTGTCAAACATCAGAAATGTCGGGCAGTGTTTGCAGTATTTCCTGCTTTTATCAGAAGAACAAAATAAAGAGATGCATTTGACAGTTGGATATAATCCTAAACTGCCTGTGCAGTGCAACTATTGCAGACTTGGGTTTTGTTCATCTCTGTGCAAATAAAATATAGCCGTTCTGAAAGTAGGATGTTGAGTAATTTCCCAGTGAAGTTTCATGGGGTATGTTTGTTTTTTTTCACTCCAGATCTGGCAGCAGACTGTCAGGCAGTGGGGGCGGGATGTGCACATCAGGAGAGGAGAGCTCTGTGGAGTGGAGTTGTGCTCAGCTGGATACCGATGAGCAGCAAAGCTCAGAGGAGTGGCTGGTGAGATCAAAATCGCCACAGCTGAAACCTTAAATCTCCAAAACAAACTCTGAATATCAAGAGTATGATGATCCAGGTGCCATAGAAGGGATCTCGCGCTGAGTCCTACACAGCAATTTTCTATAGGCTGTTATATTGTGATGCCATCAAAACTTGTTTTCATTCTGTCTCCAACATAGCGGCCGCATATCACACGGTAATTGTATGCAAATAATAAAAACAATGGAACAAGTATAAAGTAATAACCAATGAAAAACAGAATAATACTAGACTGGATTTCCTATAAGGCAGTAATGAGTCCAGTTATTTTATTACATTGAGTTTATTCGTCTTTAATTACATTAGGGCTTAAGGGGTATTTGTTCCAACCCTGACCTTGCCCAAGATTATTTTGCTGACTTGGGTCACTGTTCTTTACACCGATGCCAATTTCTAGTTCGTGAAATGGACTTTGCACTGGAGATTGCTCCTGGATTGCCACCATTAAAATCAAACAATAATGAGTCTATGTTTAGAGTGGGTCAAGGATCCTAGTACCCCGTTTCGTCCCGTGACATCAAAATAATAACAAAAGGCCCAGAGAGGTAAAATAAGATGACCTTATGAGGTAATGTGCTTTTTCTTTGCTTATAGCCACTATAAAAGAGGGGATTGAGAAGTATATAGCATGACCTGCAGAGGATCATTTTGCACTTCAACCCCTACATTCTTCAGGTTTATTTAGCAGGGACAATGCACACTAATAATACATAAATAAATATATAATGTGCAAGAATTAGCCAAAATGCTATTTTACGTCTGCTATCCCTGGACTAGTGGTTATAGGTTAAAAAGATAAAAGGATTAAGCTATAAATAATACAAACAGATTTAACCCAATTCAAAAAAAGTTGATAATACTGAAGTGAATGTTGCGGAAATTATTTTCGGTAGAAGATAAGCCTGTTTTGTTTGTGCTTCAGAAGAGGGAGGGAGAGAGTATAGCGTGGCAAGAATGGGTAGCAGACTAATCAATGCTCTTACCCAGTCATACTGTGTGTGTTATAAAGCCTAGATGGACCCTTGGGGGCCTACACATACACTTGTCTCCACTCCGCTCCAGCTGATGATTGCAGGGCTCTGTTACCGCTCTGCGTTGATTGGAGAAGGAATGAGTCGCTACTAAACCAGACTATCCTAATCAACCTTCTGCACCCCACAAATATTCCCTGCTTCACTGCTTTGCACTTCTTGTGCACTCCAGAACCCATACAAACCCTGATTCAAGTGCAGCCTTTTTTTTTAAACAGGCATCAGAGCCATGCACACCTACGATACAGCCTTTGAAGTCTAAATTCAATGAAGGGATGGATACGAGAAGAGCAATTGTCGGAGTTTTGGACATTATTTCACATTTGAATATTTGTTGCATCCTTTATGTAGCTTATAAAATGTTAAGCACATGTTAGGCACAGTGCATAATTTGTGTTTTGACAAATGTGTTACATTCTTATAATTGGGTCTATTGAAAGTGATACATATAGTACTTACTAAACTCTAAAACATGCCACCTTTTCAAATGTATTCAATTTCCACATGTGTATATTATGTACTTGTAACATGATATGCCCTCTGTCCTCCGGCAGCCTCAGGCACCCTGGGAGCAACGAGTGTTTCCTTTGGATGAAGACAATGAAGAAGCCCTGCTCTCTGATAACCTGGAACAAGTTCCGTCAGAGTGTAGCTCCTCCACATCAAAGAACTCCAACCCCCATGCCTCCCCAGCTCAGACCTCTGGTGCCACACTGCCGTCTGGTGGACGAAGCAAGAGCAGAGCGCCCAATGGCAGCTGAAAGAGCAGTGCCTTACTTTATACATGTAAGCTGGGAAACTGCATTCCCTGTTAATGGAAGTTTTTAGTAAAATTGTTTATTTTTCTTTTATACGTAATTAAAGTTAAGTTAATTAAAGTATGGAATTTTATTTACAATAATTTAGTCATTTGTTCATAAGTCTGTTCAGTAAATCATTTTGTTTGTCATTCAGTCTATGATTTATTTAGTTAATTTAATTTAATTATCTGTGCATTTCATCTGTCTGATGTTATTCATGGCACAAATGATTTATTAATTTGTTATTTATCGAGTCATTAAGAAAGGCACAATTCATTCATCCAGAGTGGTTTATGTCATTTAGGAAAAGTCATTTAAGAAGTTAAGGCAGTAAGAAAGATTTGAAGGTTCATACAGTCTGTCAGCAGATCTCAATCAAACATTGAGAGTCAACATATTAGTCAAATGGTTATATTTGTCAATTAAATTAATTAATAATTGTGTTGTTTCTTTTCCAGATCTCCTCCCTTCTGGGACCATGAGGAGAAAACGTGCCCTGGGAACCTTAATTGGGATACTTAATACATTCCATGAATACAGTGATTTGATGTTATTTGCTTAATACTTTGAAGCAAGTGTATTTAGTGAGTATTGTAACACGTGTCACAATATTTTAAACTGACTGCTGTAGCTTCTGCAACAATTTGAGGATTTAATGTACAATAGGTACTGTGTGTGTGTGTGTGTGTGTGTGTGTGTATATCTATATATAGATATATAGATATATAGATATAGATATACACCAGCAACACCAGCACATATCCAGTGTAGTCTCAGGTTTGTATACTGTTTGTAGTCGTCACATGCTATTTATTTTCACAGTTGTCTTAAAAAGTTGGTGTAGAAAGACTTTAATACATACATATATTTATGTAACTTCTTGATTTACGTGTGCTTTTTGATTTTGATTTCATGTTTTTTTTTTTCTGTTGTCATTTTGGTGAATATTTTTTATGAAGAAAGAAAAGTTATTAGTAAACATTAATAACATTGTAGTGGTGGATCCTTGTTGCAGCTGTTGACTCCTACTGTTCTGTTGAGGCCCCTGCATGAAGGGTATGACATAATTCGATAGCACATACCGTTGTCTATCAGTGGAATATTTCTCTACACTCCCCACATAGGATCACAGTACAGTGAACTAGTCCATTTCAAATAGCAGACAGGAAATAATGAGATGTCAAAAATAAGATTTCTGGTTTCTTCTACCCTTGCTGCATCTCCCAGCCTGTGAAATATGATTATGTTGAAAGCAGCTGAAATTTAAGAATGACAGGACAGAAAGAGGAAATATTAGAATATAGCATGCATGAACACAGGCCAAGACTATTTAAAACCATAATAGTTTTTACCGTTTTTATTTTATGTGTCCTTAAACATGCTACAATTCTAAAAATTGACAGATTACAGCAAGTGAAGAAACTTCAGCCAAGTGTACTTAACTAAAATGTCACAAGCTAAAACTGTAAGGACAAACTATTGTGAGGTCATATCAGTGATTTGGTTGATTAACATTTATGGAGGTCACTGCTTTTTAGGGCCATAGTCCTAGTGAAACAGCTCATGCTTTAATCCCATATGCATAACCCCCTTTTATGATATCCTTCAGAGCTACCAGGGGGCCTAATGGGCAGATGGTGGCCAAGGTCATCCTTCTCATCTACATGTATATGTGTCAGTTGCTTAATACCAGGGATGAGAGACTGGGTGCCCAGAATTAGAAACTCAGTCACATGAAATTAATTTACAGATCTGATTCCAGGTTGGTAGGAGTGAATAGGATTTTTTGGCTGTTAATCGAGTTTTCCCGTTTCCGTTGCTTAATATGTCTGCTGAGACAATTTTGTGTTTTAATTATTTCACAAAACTGCCTCCCTGGTGATATTAAATTTATTTCCTGGGTTCTTGAAAAATAGCACGTACAGTATCGCAAAACTGCAGGCGATCCGTTCTGAAACACATCATATGAATAGGTGGATTCCTCCCTTCTTATGTTGGATAGAAAAAGCTGTGAATTATCAAAGTTCCACTTGGACCAGTTATTTCTTCACTAAGGTGCTGTCGCCTAGAGGCCTTCTCATCTTTCCATGAAAAGTGAAAGAATGCCAGCCAGCACTATTCCCTCTCCTGTAGGAGGTCCACCTTAACTCTGCCCAGCCACATCTGCTTGATCCTGATAGCTGGCAGGCATAATGAGCCTCTGGTGGCCACATGGGGGCCGTATAACTCCTTAGAAGCCAGCTTCAGTTTACATTTGAGCAGAATCACTCAAACAACCTTTATTTAACTGAATTAACTGGTGATAAATATGTTGGTAAATCTGCATTCCTTCAAATTTGCCCAATAAATGATAGTGAACTATTACGGACACAACTATGAAGAGCAGTACTTTGTTATAGTGCATTTCTACATGGTTGTAACTACAGTAGTTGTACTCTGGAGGGTGCTCTGACATGTCCAAGAACATATTTAACCACACTTGATGTAGTATAATGTAATGCAACAATATCTATAATATAACAAGAATTTAAGAAAGCTGCTTATATTTACAATTTTACTCTAAGATACTGGGATTTTTGAAATGCAAATGTGAACTTCCCCTTCTGTCCATGCACAACCTTCACTTCTACTAATCATCAAGAAAGTCTAGTGGTGGCACTGAATTATGGGGCTGTTCGATACAAAGCAATTCCAATGAAAACTGTTCACAGTGAGGTATGTGGATTATCTGAAGTTTTTCTGGAAAGACAGGCTGCTATTACTGTTGTTTCAAAGCTTTGAGCAGCAAACACTCCATACCATTAACCTCACAGAAAGGAATGACCTCCTGTAAAGAGGATCTTGCTAGGCTATGCTAGCTAATATTTGATGCTAAGTTTAATAACTTACCTCAAGCTAAATGTGATGGACCCGTTTATATAAGTTTAATGGTGAAAAAGGAATGAGTATGAGTCATGTGGTATCAATTAAACGTCGTGGTTTATTTTTAATGATGACCAGCAAGAAGCTAAACAGGACCTGCCAGCACATTTGCATCATTTTGTTTGACTGATTTTGTCGAAAGTTGCAGATCACAGATAACGTCAGCTTGCTCCGCTGCTGCCGTGGTGAGCAATATGCTATAGTAGTTTAAATTGCGTTGCAATTGCATTTAATTTTCTCAAAGTTTAAATTAATGTACAATTTATTTTGTTAATTCTGCCTCTATTGTCTAGAAAACGGGTGGAGCGCAACACCGTAATTACTAGAGCACAGTGACAATGTAACGGTGTGACTAGTATAGTCATTACGGTAAATGTGGGCTGCGGAGCCTGTGTGTCCGACAGACCGGGAGTTGCACTGAAAGACACTGCGCCTAACAGGTAAAAAAAATTCACTTCTTTATTTCTGTAACAGGTTGATAATACAAATGAATATCCATGAATGGCAATGGCTTAGCAAAAGCTTGTTAAATTAGCGGTGACAGGGAGGCTTTCGCCCTTCAGTGAATGAGCATTTCAGCAAGCATTGAAGCTGAAATAATAAGGTGCCCCCTCTCTGTGTGGATGGAGAAAGGACGCATTGTTCGTCTACGGGAGAATTGGGTCTAGGTTCTTATGGGTCTGTGTTGTCTCATCTCTGTTTTCAGCCAGGTTCAGATATGCAGTTTTGCGGAATTAGACTCCTATGAAATCACTGCTGAGCAACAGATCTGGGAACCATATCTCTGAGATAGGTAAGACTTAATGATCACCTAGCTATTATTGGTCCAATTACGCACCTAAATGCTTGCTTTGTTGAGGGGATGAAATGGTGATGTCTGCATTGTGCTACATAAAGGCTCTACCTATTGCGGCCACTGCGGGAACTTGCCTTTCTGCGGTGGTATGCAAGGCTATAGGATGCCTATATAATAGGCCTACATAATAAAAAAGCTATAGCATGAGGTCACTGTGAAAAGATCTTTGAGGAGAATCCCCTATAGAAATGTAACAGTGGTTTATAATCTGAGCAGCGCTGCCTAATGAGAGAAGAGAGGAGTGCAAACCCTGGTGCTGAGTCATATTGGTTGCTTGAGATTGATCACAAAAATGTAAGCCCAGTATGTGCATGCTTGTTATTATCATCATTGCTATGATATTGTATGTAAAAAAATAAAATAAAATAAAAATCACATATTTAGCTGCACTGCATTTATGTTGTTGAGCTGATTGAGAATTTGAAATCAGTTGTGAAAGCTGGTTACATTAAGACCTAATCTCTTCATTGAACCCCTGCCTTAAAATAAAGCCAACACAGCAAATGCAGCTAAAGCAGTTACACCTCAGAGATCCTTACTGAATAGATATTAAATAGCAAGCTTACACATGATAAATGTCTTATACACACGCACGCAGGTGTAGGCATCGGTCCAATCTCATTTACTTACAAGGGGGCTGGCTATTGATTTCTGTCTGTCGTGTCCACTTTAACACAGTATGTGCAGGTACATTTAAATGCCTGATGCATTCAAGATGAGGCTCAGAACTCCTCCTCACCGAAGGAGTGGGCTCATGCTCATGGAAGGCTGGGCTGGTCCATCTATCAGTTTCACCTGGGTCTGCTTTTTTGGCTGCTGTGACTGTTAAGCAGAGGAGCAGATTCAGCTCTATACTGGCGTGATTCTTAGGCCATTACGTGCTTCTAGCTCCAAATGTGAGGAAGGACAGACGTGAGGCTATGAGCAAATGTTTGGGAGATTCATGACACCTATAGATGGTTGTGTGTGTCTGCTGAAACGTGGAATTGTATCTTCTGCTTTGTCTTCATCATAGCCTTTTGTTTTTAACAGTCCTTTTTCATTTGAAAAAAAACTGTAGGTTATTATTTGAAACCTTTAAAGTGCATTAACATTGGCATTTTGGGTTTGCAACTCTAAGACTGTATTTGTATGTGTTTACGTACAAAAAATGCCTCCATTTAGCACTGAAAAATGGATTTTGTGAAAGTCTGTGTAAGTGGCCGTTTACCGATTGTGCTTGTGTTTTGGTAAGGGGTTAGAGGTGAAGTGCACCTCTGAGAATGCATGTGCTGGCCAGTCTTTACAATGATGTGCCTGTTCTCTACCAATGACTTTCAGTTACAGGTACTTTCATATAGAAACCCTTCCTCCTGTTTACAAGATGATTTAAAGAACTAATTAGATAGTAAGTGTTCATTATGTATTGGGTGCAGAGACTGAAAGAGCATATAGAAAGGTGGTAATGCATGGTTGGTATATACCTGAGCTAATGTTCGGTCGATACAGTAGGAGGTCTGATTGAAAGTCAGTCAGATGTCAGAGCAAGGACTCAGAAGATGAAGCAGAGCACTGAGTGGTTTCCTTATGAGGGAGGGTCTTTTTCATGTTAATTCTTTGCTCCTCCTGTTTGTACTAGGACCAAATGAAAGTAAACTTTTACAATAGTGGTGTGGATGAATGCAGATATCCAGACAGTTGATGGTCTGGCTAATAAATGTAATGTTCACCTGTTTTCAGCTCCTAATAAGATCGTTTGGATAATGAGATTATACTGGGGATTTGTTGTCTGACCACATGTGTTGCTTGCCCTAATGGACTCTTGATTGTTGTACACTAATGTAGTGCCTTGCCATGTCACTACATCCCTACCCCAGCTATAACATAGGCTACAGTATGTGTAAAATGTAGGATTGAATTTGAAAAAGTACGACCCTGTGAAAATCCCTTTAAGACCAGTAAAATACGACTTCTACATTTCTTGGATAGGCATTTACAGGAAACATTCCCTGAATTGATTATTTTCATTGTCTTCAGTACACTGGACTGTCAGAGGGAGCAGTCCAGGCGGAGGTGCCAGCATAGGTAGCACTGCAGCAGGCCAGCTCACACCCGTGTGGTGCCACGTACTGTAGGTCAGCTTTGCATAAGCCCTGTGTGTCAGTGAGACAACCTAATCCTGATTCCTACAAAGATACTTAGTCAGCCGGGCACACACTCACAGAAAT